ATTTTATGTCCAAATACCAAAAGTTCATATACGAATAAGTGTCGGATCCATGTTAATTTTCGGCCGTGGAAAACATGCCTTTCCAAAAGAGAGAAAGAGAAAGTGAAAGAGAGATGTTAAATAAGTGATTGTGGACCTTGAACTAATACAAACATGGTACCAATCATTATTGGTCTGCAGATCGACAGCAGAAAGAGAGATGATGGTGGGTATTCAAAGAGATGTTCAGGTAGAAAGAGAGAGATGCTGGGTTCAAAACGGGGTGTTTTGGTAGTGGGTTAAGTTTTTAACCAAGGTTAATTCATGGGCCCCACTAAAATATTTTTTATTCTAAATTATAAGCCTAAATGCATTCTGGGATGCTAATATATTTAAGTTTCAAAATGGAATACTCAAAGCACAAAGGTCGAAATAGAGTAATTTTTGTAACACGTTATAAAGTTGATGGTATTTTTTAGGTTTAGCCTTTTTTTTTTTAAGTTAATAATAAGTTTGCGTTAACTAAATACATTTTTTAGATTATAAAATGTAGTTTTGATATACAAATTAAAATTTTGATTCCTTTTTGAAATACCACGTATAAAATTCAACTTATTATAAAGTAACTTTAGTATAATTAGTGTTTTTTATGATATACATTATACGTTCACTATGCTCGTTATACACTTATTTTTTACATTTTTTAAATTTTTTCTCTATATAATATTAAAGTATAAGTTTTTTGTTTAGATTAAAATAAATATAATTTTTTTTAATTTGTATTAGACTTTATCATGCAAGCTACTCTAATGCATTAGAAAAAGGAATATATACACATCATACACACAAATTCTTGAAACTCCAAAAGGTGGCCTAAAACAGAAATATATAGTTTTAGTTTTTTTTCAGTTTCATAAACACTATTTCATTTCAAGTCAAACAGATTTAAAATATAAAAAAAAATATTAAGAAAATTAAAAATGCTTAATTATCAAGAGGCCATCTATTTATTTCAAGGGGATGTAAATCTCTTACGAAATTAAAATGATAATAGTCAAAAATTATTATTAAGAATAAAACTCTTTTCAGAACTCAACACATAGTAAAAAACAAATTATCATTTTGAATTTCAAAAATTAATTTTTCAATTGGAAAGTTGATAGACAACAAAAGAAAAATAAAAGACTAAAACTAAGTCAATAAGTGGAAATTACAAAGCAAATAATGACAGGATCTAATATTGGTTAGTTAATGAGTTTATCCAAGTATTTCCTTTCTCTATTGTTCTAAATTGTAAATTTAAAATAAATAAATTAATTAATAAAAAAAGATTAATAAAAAAAACGTTTTATTCTCTCCAAATAAACTATCAATTCCCTGTAACTATACAAAAAAAATATATAATTTTTTCTTTTTTATCTCCTCCTAAATAAAATATTATGCATATTCTATTTAAAAATAAATATTTTTAAAAAAATATATCCAATCAAATAATAAAAACATAGAGAAAAAAGAATATTAAAATATACTTTTTTCTCTTTTTATCTCTCTCCAAAATAAAATATTTTAAATTATAATTAAATAAAATCAAACTATTTAAAAATAAAATATGAAAATTTTCAATTTATTCTCTCTCCAAAATAAAATACTTTTAATTATAATTAAATTAAATCAAACTATTTAAAAATAAATATGAAAATTTCAAATTCCTTATCTATCAAATATTTATTAAAATTAAATTTAAAAATTATAAAAATTAAAATTTTTAAATTTTTTAATATCTGAATATGCAAGCCAGTCTTAATACACAGACAAACATCCATATCTGTATCACCTACTCAATATCTATAATAAATATATACATTTCACCTTATAAAGTAACCAAGCCATCTAAGCGTGATCTCTCGCCAGCTAGTTCGCGGCTTGCTACGACATACGCTTGGCCGAATAGTACTAGAAATTAAAATTTTTAAATTTTTAATTATCTATATGTATTTATTTAAAAAATAATTTTTATAATTATATCCAATCAATTAATAAAATATAATTTCCTTAAGTAAAACTATTTTAGGATATTCCAAATTTTATTAAGAGCAATATTAAAAATTTTATTATTCTCTCATATTCCCACATTTATATATAGTATAGATAATCATGCTATAAGTCACATTTTAATTAAGTATTATAATATGTACAGAAATTATTATGATCATTACAAAAATTTTAAAATAGTATTTATATGATTAATCTTTTTTTAGGAAAATATACGTTCTATATTTTATTTTAGTGGAAAAATATTCACTTAGTATATTTTCTGTATTAATTGGTTAAAACGGTGGATAAAAATTCTATATCAATATAGAACGTTTAATTTTTATACTGTAGTCTTTTCCATTTCGGTGCACATGATGTTATAAATATTTTTTTTCCCCTACTTAGTAAGCAACATATGAATCTCTAACAAACACTGAAAAGTTTGTCAGCATATGTAACATCAAACACCAATCAAAGCTTTATCCTTTGTATTTAGTTAAAGCAATAGAAAGTCCAAATTGATTGGTCAAAAAATGATGATTTTGCAATTAATCTCTAAAACTTGTATTGCTTGAAAGCATTGCATATAGGAGGTTAATTTTTCAATTCATGACCTAACTAACTATATGACATGCCTCTTACCCTCAATAAAGCCAGAAAAAGAATACTACAAGGAAATTACAACTTTGCTTTTTCTTTCTTGGTTGATTGGATAACGGCTTTAACAAGAAACAATTGAAAGTGGGTGGTTAACTACCTCTTCTTTGTGTTTTTTTTTTTTTTTTTTTTTTTTTAAATATCATTTTATTTTTTTTTTTTTTTTTTTTTTTAAATATCATTAACTGTAGAGAAAGTGACAGAAAGCAAATCAATGCCATCTACTGATACTATGTTTTTCACTTGTCACTTTTGGAGACAACTCATCAACCAAGTTGCTTGAATTCATTATTAAACTTATAATATGAGGCTTGTTAATTATTATTGATCTATTAAAATAATTCAAGTTAATGGATTGAGAGTATATGTCCAATATTTAGGACGAGATCGAATTTTAGATCAATACAAGTCGATCTCAATCAAATAATTATTTCTATCCTAAAATCTTTCGAATAAGAAACTCATGAGATTTTTTTGAAATTAAGATTTTCACAGTCTCGTGCATACCTCAAGTTGACAATATATTTGATATTAAGGTTAAAATATTTTTTTGAAAAATAATAGTTTTGGAGTATTATTTAATTATTTTAAAATTTTTGTAATTGAAGTGTGTAATTTTATTTTAATAACAAATTTTAGTAACTTATAATCAACATTTTGGTTCAGCTTATATATACTCTATAGCCAAAATGTATATATTATAGAGTATGGATAATATACAGGTTGTGCTTGAGAGGCATTCTTTGGTGTTTTTAAGATTTAGTTTGAGTCAATGTTATGAGAACCAAACCAATTATTGAATTGGTTAAAACATTTTATATATAATATTCTTAAATATATTTTTTAAATACAATAAAAAATATAGGATTTATAAACACTAAACTTTTATAAAGATGATGAAAAATGATTAAATTTAATTAATTACCATAAAATATAATATTGTCTAACACTAGTAACAATTCAAATATGGAATTTTTTTTTATTTTAAATTGAACCATACCCAATAACCGAATCGGTTCCTCGATTTTTACCGGTTCTCACAGCTTCTTACACCATATTTTTAGCTCCCATTTTAAGTACCAATCTGAATCAGACCATAGTCCAGGTTCTGATTCAACGGACATGATTTCAGCTACAAGTGATGTGCGGTTTGCGGATGCAATCTCTCGGTCTGGCACTCTGTTGGATCGCGACTCGCATGTATAATTCCATTCTACAACATTGTTATCGTGAAGCAAAACAAATTGCTGATAGATTGACTAATGGATGATGAGTTGGGCGGTGAGATCATGATTTCCTGCAATAGAATATGCAAGGTGTGGTGGTTTGGCCCTGGTTAACACGCAGTGCATCTTAATTTTCTTTTTTCTGATTTGTTCTTCTCCTCTCTATCCCAAAAAATTAAACCCAAAAAAAAAAAATGCAACATTTTAAACACCGAAGTTGCACCGTGTGTATATCGTTGGTCACGTGACAAGCACTTTTTTTTTTTTTTTTTCGTGTGTATTATCGTTGGTCACTTGAACAATAGCACTTTTTGTTTTTTTTTTTGAGTATTGTGAGAAAAAAATTTCAAACTTGAATCTGTTGAGAGATTATTACATACACTTTTAATTAAATGATTGAGTTCTATATAATAACTAATCCTTGCCGAACAAAAATTTCTTGTATGCATAAGCTGTAGACTAATCTGACTTTTTTTTTTTTTTTTTGAGTATTGGAGAAAAAAAATTCAAACCTGAATCTGTTGAGAGATTATACATACACTTTAATGTAATGATTGAGTTCTAATATAATAACTAATCCTTGGAACAAAAATCTTGATGCATAAGTGTAGACTAATCTTGAATTTGACCCAAGAACAAGAAACAAAAATGGAAGACAAAAATTTTGCAATACATGAATCTCAGTTTTAATTAATCTCGGTAACCTATCATGTAAGCTAACAGTGATATTGATAATTAAGAAACTTAATTAAGCTAATTAATCTTTCTTGGAAGAACTAAGTTGATGCAATGATAGATGTAATTAATGATGAAATTAGAACTCTTAAGACAGAGATTTGATTAGTTAATAGGGAGTTTACTTTTTGAGATTTGCTATTGACTGATGAATAGCAAGAGGAGAGTTGAAGGAACATGGGTATGGTATGACAAATGATAGTGCATGAGAGGGAGATTTAATCAGAAAGTTTGGTGTAAGAAAGAATGCAAATGCTTGATAATGTTTGTGATGTAGCAACAGAAGGGATTTAGAAAATTACAAATCTCCAAACTTTTATATTTAAAATCCATTCTCTTTAGTGTCTATAAATTCATTTCAAGTTTTCACTTGTTAATCCAACCCATTAGAGAGAGAGAGAGAGAGAACTAGTAATTAATTAAACATGGAGAAAGCACACACAAAATCTGCACTCAAGGTTGTCTTTTTTATTTTTTATTTTTTAAATTTATTTTTTATTTATTATTTTCTAGGGATGAGATGCATTTCTAATTTTTTTTTTTTAATTTTTATTTTCACAAAGCTTATTAACGCTAGTTCACAGTCTAATGTTCCATGGAGCACTACTGCTAGAGGAATGGTGAGATATTGTTCCATCTCAATTGCATGCATATATATTTGGTCCTTTATTGCAGCTCCATTGCCCTACTTACTTACTATGGTTGTATTTAGTAATAGTTTTTTAAGTAGTTTTTAGCGTCTTAACTAAACTTTATTTTCTATAATGTCCGGTAATACAACGTTTGAATTAGTTTTTAGAAGTTAAAAATAATATTTTATAAAAGATTAACTCATGTAACATTTAACTTTTAGTGGTTTATGAAAAGCTATTCAAACAGCTAAACGTTACTAAAACAGCTAATAGCTACCAAACAACTAATTTTATCGAATAGGCCCTGAGTGACCAAATTAGCATTTGGTGTTAAAATGTATTGCTATACTTAAAAGAAAATTGGGATTAGAATTGAAAATTTGCTCATCTTTCTATTATTTTTATTGTTTTTCATTTTATTTTTTTATGTCAGAAATTGTTTTAAAAAAAATATTGATTCTGGATCGTTGACTTTTCATATATAGTAATAATGCAGAGGCAATTGCTCATTGGTTTTTTTTCAGTTGTTTGAAAATGCATGGGCATAATTTTGTTGGATGGTTTATTAACAACTTTAACTGTAGTTGAAAAGCTACCTTTTGCTAAGGAAAAGATATGGGAGGAAAACTTCACATGTGGTCGTTACTCTATCCCATCTATTTTGTTCTCATTTTTGGTCAAAAAAGTCTTTTTCTTTTTTCCTGTTTATGAAGCATTACATTTTATGAGCAAACAATTTTAGAATCTAAATCTAAAGGGTGGCTTGATTTGTTAATTACGGCTCGATTTTTGTAATCACGATCTTAGATTAAATTATAAAAGAAGTGAATTCAATACGATAAACAAAAACTGACTCGTGATATCACCTTATCTTATGGCTAAACCAAAGGTGATTGTTTTCTATTCCTTTTCTATTAGAAAATAAAATCAAAAGCAAAGAATTTAGGGTCACAAAACTTGTTTGCACATAGAAGTTTAGAACCCTAAAATTCTTTTCATTTCTTTCTGAACTTCAAAATATTGTTATTGCTAGCACTAGCTATCCAAGGAGAAACTATATTATTGTTTTAAATAAAAACTTCAAGTATATTTTTATTGTTTTAAATAAAATTAATAAGAGTACGAAGCAACGCTTGTCACAGGCAAAAGATGATCTCAAGGAGAAACTGTGTGACAAATCCAAGGTAAATCTTATTTACTCAACTCTCACTCTCTATATCTCCATTTGTGTCAACTGAGAAGCTACTTCACCATCAACAGGCAATCCCAAAACCTCCATCCAAGGAAAATACTAAGCCACAAGAATTCAAACTCCATACACAACAAAGAGCTTATAAACGTGCAATGTTCAATTATTCTGTGAGTAGCCTGAGAATGTTTATTTTTTAAAAAAATTTGCATGTATAATTAATAAATTTCACTTATATGATCATGTTTTGTTTCACTTAGAAATATACTAAAATAAATTTAATTCTTAATATATAATTCTCTAAAATGGCAAATGACTCAATAACTTAGGTTGCAACCAAGCTATATCTCATGGAGCTGGAAAAGAAACAGATAGAGAAGATCCAAAAGGTATATTTTATGTATGTAATTTTTATTATATCGATGATCACTAGTCTTAATTGCTAGATTTGATGGCAATAACACTAATATGAAAATTGTGAAGCAGATCATAGAAGAAGAAGAGGTTCGCTCCCTGAGAAAGGAAATGATTCCAAGAGCCCAGTTGATGCCTTTTTTCGATAGACCTTTCTTTCCACAAAGGTAAAATAATATGTACTAGGTTGGCTGTGATATTCATTTTTAAAAGGTTTGTTCATTCCTTTACTTACCAAATTTAGAGTTCTGAAGTATAACTGAACATGTGAAAGATGTCAAATTTAGCCTAACATACCGGTTTCTTTCATGCAGATCAAACAGGCCTTTGACAATACCTAGAGAGCCAAGTTTCCGAATGGTGAACAGCAAGTGTTGGAGCTGCAACTCTGGAAATGAACTCTACCATTTTCAACATGCTCATCAAGATTGGAACTACTAATTTTGGCGGTGTTTAATTTCATCCATCTTGTACAACATATCTAGTCATAGATTTTTTTTTTTTTTTTGTTTTTAAGTTTTGTGAGTGTGTTAATAATGTAGCAAGCAACATATTAGGTCTTTTAGGGGTTTTTACATTAGTTTGCCTTTACATATAGCCATAAACCCCTGCTTTCAATGGGTTTGATTAATGTTATTCTCACATCTAATAATGTGAATTTTATTTTTGCACTTCTGTTTCATTAATGAGTAAATGATAATGTCTCTTTTTTTTTTTTTTTTTTTTTCTTTTCTATGTGATTTTTTATTTATTGCACTTTCTTGTCTTCATTAATGAGTAAATGATAAGGTCTTCTTTTTTTTTTTTTTTTTCTTTTCTTTCTTTTTTTTTTTTTTTTCTTTTCTTTTCTTTTATGTTTATCTAGAATATTGTTTGGAATTGGAGGACATATTTCTAATATTGATATAAATTTATGCTCTTAAATGAAAAAACAATTTCAATAAATTTAGATTAAATTGTAGTGATCAAAAGGCTCTAATATTGTTTTAAATTAAATTAAACAATTATAAAAAATAAAAATTAGTTGTTTTGGAATTTGTTTTCCGTTAAAATAGTAAAGCAAATTTGAAATAATTAAAAAATAACTCCATTCAGAAATAAAAAAACATAATTAGACATAAATTTTGGTTTAAGATTTCATTATTTTTACCATTAATCTCTTGTTTTGCACGATTTTTACCTTTGCATTTATTTTTTTTGATATTATGAAAAATTAGACAGTCTTTCGCATTTCGCGCTGCTATATAGTGATTAGGTGATTAGGTGTATGTTATAAATTTATAGAATCTCATATGCACAAAACTCATAAATTTTCTCTAATTTATGCACAACTATTATTAATAAGGGGAGAGAAACTGGAAATAGGAAGCCATATTAGAAGCATCTAATCTATATCTATCTATCTCTATTATATATAAAAGTGGGAATGCGGGGAATAATGGAATTGCAGATATTATCATTGTGAAATTTAAGATATTCTAAAATAACCTTAGTTTTAACTAATTAAAAAATTTTAACCTAAAAATATATATAATATAAAAAAATTTCACTAAAAATATATATAATATTTTCTATTAATTGATTGGATATTTTTCTGACATTTTTAATTAGATAAATAAAAATTATAGATAATTAGTATTTCAAAATTTTTTAAATTTTTCTGTTATTATCTTATTATGTCTAATTTTATTTTATTTATGTATATTATTATGTTAAATATTAATAATTAATTATTATAATTTGGTGATAATTGTATTATGATTGTTATTATTATATAATAGATTTCAACACTATTATTTTAAATAATAATATTTATGTAAATGATTTGGGCCATTTTGAAAATTTTTATCTTATTGTTTTGTTGAAATTTATTCTTCTAGCATTTTTGAAAAATGATTTTGAGTTCTTAGCGTGTGATTCATTTAATGTTATAAAAGGGTATGATTAAATTTTCTTTATTTTACGATTATTGTTATCTTTTTCTTAATTTGTGTTTAGCCAAAATAAATATGAAAATAAAAAATTATTAATTTTTTTTTAAAACATCTTCTGAATTTTATTATTGTATTATATTGATATTCTTCGTTTTAATTTAAGAGAGGTCCGTATTTCTGTATTAAAGAATATAATTTTATTTAAGAATTTTTGTATGTAATTGCTTTCATTTGGAGTGTGTTTGTGATTGACTAAAAAATGTAAAATGATTGAAATAAAATTATATTTTAAAATTATGTGTAATTGAATTTATAGATTGCTTTCTTACTTGTCTTATTGGTTAAATATCTTGGATATTTATTTGACGTAATGAAGAGATTACAACTGAAAAGTTATATAACGAAGTAATGACGGGTATGTTTTAATTATAAAACGTATAATAGAAGCTAGCATGATTGATTTTGTATAAATCCAATTTAGGTTTCTTTAAAAATAAAAATTAAATAAAAAACAAAGGGTGCTTTCATGATTTTGATTGACTAAAAAAATTAAAATAAAATAAATTATTATTTATAAATATTTAATTTAATTTATTAGATTGCTTTCTTATTCTATTGTTAACTTATATTTATTTACTATAAGAGATTACAACGAAAGTTATTAACAAAATACGTATATTAATTATAAAACGTATAATAGAAGCTACATGATGATTTTTATAAATCAATTTAGTTTTTCTTTAAAAAATAAAATAAAATAAAAACAACTAATGTATACTAAAAACTGTATGAATCAGTACGTTAATATAGAATCAAAAAAAAAAAAAAACTATACATGTAAAGTGTAATATAATTTAACCTCTCAATCTAAATAATAATTTATACTTTAATATTATATAAATAAGCTTTCATGATTTTGATTGACTAAAAAAATTAAAATAAAATAAATTATTATTTATAAATATTTAATTTAATTTATTAGATTGCTTTCTTATTCTATTGTTAACTTATATTTATTTACTATAAGAGATTACAACGAAAGTTATTAACAAAATACGTATATTAATTATAAAACGTATAATAGAAGCTACATGATGATTTTTATAAATCAATTTAGTTTTTCTTTAAAAAATAAAATAAAATAAAAACAACTAATGTATACTAAAAACTGTATGAATCAGTACGTTAATATAGAATCAAAAAAAAAAAAAAACTATACATGTAAAGTGTAATATAATTTAACCTCTCAATCTAAATAATAATTTATACTTTAATATTATATAAATAAAAAATTAAACGAGTATGAAGAATGAACATATAACGAACATAATCAATGTGCAACGCATATTATAAAAAAGACTAGTAACACTGAAAAGGGAAAGAAAGTATATCATCACCGTACTATTCGTCGAATACAACAACTTGAAACGTATACAAGATTATCTCTTGTATGTATGTACATATGTTAAATTTCTTTTTGTTTTTTTTTTTTCCTTTATTGATAATTGTGAATCTTGTCTAAATAGACATCTTTCTCATCCAACGATAAAAATTCTTTTTGTTCTTTGAATTTTATTAATTTTTTGCTTACTTTTCTTTTGAAAAAAGCCGTTGAGCCAGCATCTCGAATATATGACATACTTATAAATTGAGTTTGCTTCAATCTTGTCATTTTCTTTAGCTTATCGGCAAATTGAAGTCATATTTTATTCTTATGTTAGTTTAATTATTATGCATAAATATATCCCATTTATAATTTTTTTTTATCAAGCTAGCTTTGCTTAAATTTGTGTGGTAATTTATTTATAGTTTATTACGCATAAATCTCGTTAATTTATTTGTGTGTTAGTGTGTTTTTGTTATTTGTGTTTTATTAAGTTTTGGTTTCCTTTTCTTTGGAAAAAAAAAAAAAGATATTTTGAAAAAATCTCCGAATTTTCTAACTGCTACTATCACTTCAACCTCTCTTCTTTTGAAATTTTCTTGTACCTAAGAAATCCAGTCTTGGAATTAGAAAGTTACACACATAAGCATAACCTAGGTTAATATAGTTCAAAAGAAAGAAAGTCAACTGAATTCAAAATCAAAGATTTTTCTAAAAAAAAAAAAAAATAGCTGTGGAAAGTAATAAAGGAATTAGAGATCTTAGTAAGTATATGCAAAGTTTCTTTTTGAAAATGATGAAAATGAAAACCTTAATTAATTAATCAATAATTAATCTCAAAAATCAAGGAAATAAAAATAAAATTGATTTTCTTTGTAATTCATAGAAAATACGAATATTACTAATTGCTGGGTCACTTACTAATTAGACAAATCTTCTTATAACAAGAAGGATCGTTATTACTTTATTTTAATAAATTAAAATAATGATTAATATTGCTAATCAAATTTCACTTACAAAGAAGGATCCCTTGTAAATTCAACAATAATTCTCCCGTAAAAAAGTTGTAAAATATAAATTCACTGATAAAAAAAATTGAAAATAAAAAGCTAAAGCCAACGCGATAGAAGAGTCAAAGAAGAAGATGAAGATGAGGAAAAGAGTTGATTCTTATTGTATTTAGGCTAGTAGCTTTTGAAGAATAAGAATGTTCCATTTTGATTGAGGAATCAATTGTTTTTGGGAGGGAAGATTACTTGAGGTCTCTTTTAATTTTTAATTTTTTTTTCAAACCCTAAACCTAATCCTATTTTGGGGCTTATATATGTGAGATTGAAAATAAAGTGCTCCATAAATAAAATTAAGGTTATTTTGGAGTGATTTTGTAACGAGGTTAAAATGTTAAAGATATTTTTATAATTTACTAATTTTTTGTATGACGTGCGTTGCACGTTAACTATGCTCATTATATATTTATTTTTTTATCTATATAATATTAAAACATAAGTTTATTTAGATTAAAAGAAATACAAGTGGTTAATTTGTATTATACTTTAACTACTTACAATTCTACTTCTTTTGTATATAATTCTATTTTTATATAATGAAGTACTCTCAAAATAAATTTCAACCCAATCCCTAAACCTAATTCTTTAGTTCCTAATTTATAAATATAGATTTTTAAAATCATAATAGGTGCCCAAAAATAAAACCAAGCTACCACTTAATCTCTAACCCATGCCTTCAACCTCAAATTAATATATATATACAACTATAATAAAAAATAATAATAAATTATTTTTTACTGCTAGGTAGAAGAAAAAAAATGAGACGATAATTTGAATTAATAATGGAAATCACTTTGTTATTGTAACAGTATTATTTATACAGTATATCAAAGAAAGTTAGAAAGGAATATATGCACATACCTACAAATTCATCAAATCTAAAATTTGACCTAAATAGAACTATATAATTCTAGTTTTTTTTTTTCAGTTTTTTAAACACTATTTTCTTTTAAATCAACCAGATTTATGATATAAGAGAAAAAATATCAAGAAAATTAAAAATAATCAAAGAACAATTTAAAAATGTTTAACTCATCAATGGACCCATCTAATTTATTACAAAGGGATATAATCTCTTTCTAAATTAAAATAATAGTTTACAAGAATCTATTTAGTCAACAACAATAAAATAAAAAATTATTATTAAAATAAAACTCTTCAAACGCATAACAAAAAAAATATTTTATGTAATATAGATTATATAATATACCAATAATTATATTAATATAATTTTTAAAATTAAAATTTTTTTAACTGTTTATCAGATTTAATTATCAGATTTAATTATGTAAATTTTATTTAAAAATTTACTTTTTAAAGAATATATACAATAAAATCTTGAAAAAAAAGAAAAATATTAATAAAAATAATATATATATATTTTCTTTTTTTATTTCTCCTAAATAAAATATTACATACATTCTATTTGAAAATTTATTTAAAAAAAATACATGCAATCAAATCATACAAACATAAATAAAAGAAAGAATATTAATAAAAAATATATTTCTTTATTTTTTTATCTATATCCTTAAAGAATTAAATATTTAATAAATAAAATATAAAAGTATTTCAAATGTCTCATTGTGTCATATATATTTATTAAAAAAAAAATTTAGTAAAGATAAAACTTAAATTTTTAAATGCTTAATTTATGTATATGTATTTATTTAAAAAACATTTTTTTTAATTCATTAGGAGACATAATGGGCTGAAATAACACTGCTGGCTACAATAAGGAATAACCCTCTATTCACTAAATTGGTGAAAACACTTATAGTCGAGATGATTCGAACTCGAGACCTCTCACTCCTCACATAAGTGAGAAGACTATCAGACCACACATGATTAATTTATAAAATAATTTTTATAAATATATTATAATAAAATGTAATTTTTTAATTGGCTATTATTAAGGTTATTTTAAAATATTCTAAGTTTTATTAAGATCGCTATCAGAAATCTCATTATTCTTTCTTCCCAATTTTATATACAGTATAGATAGATAGATATATATAGTTGGGCCAGAATGAGAAACAATTGAAACGTGGCTAGGAATGTACAAAACCACTGATCAAACCAAATTAATCCATTTTGATTTGATTTGGTCAGCTTATTTAATAGAAGTCCGATTTATTGCCTTAATCAATTTGAACTGAAGTTATTATTGGTTGGGCTCGGTTTCATAGAAATTAATAGGTTAGATTTAAATCGAACCGATAAAATAAAAATTGACTGATTCGGTTCCTTTCAGGCCCGAAAAAAAGTTCGGTCCCTATTTTTCACCTTGTTTGCTCACCTCTAGATACAGGGTCCAGCCGCTCTCTCCCTCCAGTAAATCACAATAAGCCAGAAAACAATTGAAACTTCTAGCGCCCTCTCAAAGAACGCATAATAATAAAGAAACTCCTCCATATTTCGCCGCCAGCCCAAAAAAAAAAAAAAAAAAAAAACCATAAAAAAAAAAAAAAAAAAAAAGAAACCATTGGGTAGCCCGAGAAATACGCAGAAGCACCAAACACTGCCGGAAACAATGGAAAGCAGCAGCAATAAGGAGCAAATTAATGGATGTAGAACAGTAAGTAGAAGATATTTCTACTGACGACGATTTGACGCTCCTCTTTAACTAAGGTCGAAAGCATTTGTATGCGCTGCGGCGAAAATGTAAAACTTTTCTTTCTCAACTTCTCTGTGGTATTATTTTCTTGTCTAATTCAAAAAAAAAAAAAAAAAAAAAAAAGGAAAACCTTGTAGCCGAGAAATAGCAGAAGCACCAAAACTGCCGGAAACAATGGAAAGCAGCAGCAATAAGGAGCAAATAATGGATGTAAGAACAGTAGTAGAAGCTATTTCTACTGACGACGATTTTGACGCTCCTCTTTACCAGGTCGAAAGCCTTTGTATGCGCTGCGGCGAAAATGTAAAACCTCTTTCTCACTCTCTGTGTATTATTTTCTTGTCTAATTCATAAATAGATATATTTGTGGAGATCACTCAATTTATTGAGTTCAATTTGTATGCTAAATTTTTTTAACAGGGAATAACAAGGCTTTTATTGACATTAATCCCTCACTTTAGAAAGGTACTTATCTCATATTTGCTTCTTAGTAACTGGTTATTATTATTATTCTTTTTTAAATTTCTGATTAAATTAATCTCAGTATGGATAGCATGTCTGGTTTTTGTGTAATTGCACTGCATGATAAAAATAAAATATACTGGAATATATTTTTCCTGCCTGCAGATCTTGTTATCAGCTTTTGAGTGTCCGCATTGTGGTGAGAGGTAATTTTGAATGTTTTTGTTCTTGTGAGGATTTTTCAGTATTTATTATTAAACTGATATTTTATGTAGGCTTTTTATTTGTTTTTCTCCTAATTAGGAATAATGAAGTCCAGTTTGCTGGTGAAATCCAGCCTCGGGGATGTTGTTATCGTTTGGAAGTCCAATCAGGCGATCCTAAGGTTGCCTCAACTGTAATCAAATGCTTCTAATTTGCAATATGTTTCATTTATACTTATGTTTTTCTGATTACTTTCTGCATTGAGCTAAATTAATTTCCATGTTACGGTGATATTAAGGTGACATGAGGATGATAAGAATGAAAAAATTGTTGGTGTGCAATTTTGTTGTGAGATTGAGTATTTAGCCTATTTGAACATTTACACAGATGCAACTTCTATAATCTTCAGAATTTCTATCATTTGACTCATTATTTTTCTTCCCTTTGATTTGTTATATTCAAAATTGTGCTTCTATATATGTAGCTTGGATAAGACCTTGTTATTGGAGCTTGTTTTCAATAGTTGTCTGGGCATGTGAAATATTTAAGTCTTCTGCTTTTGTCACAAAAATTTGAAGCTGTCTTAATAAGGGATCCAATTCTGTTCATTTGATATGCAGGTGCTAAATCGACAGGTTGTAAAAGCTGAGTCTGCCACCATAAAGGTATGTTCACTTGATCCTAAAACCACTGTTTTGTGAATACGTGTTTACTTACAATTTCTAATAACGTTTATATTTAGTTCTCATTTGATACGTTCAATCGTTCATATGCTTAGTTTGTGGGGTAGAAATAGATTGGTTCTGAAAGTCAAATTGGTTCTGCCCCTTGTGCTCAATACTTGATCTTACCATTCCTTATTTTTTGTCTCCTTGTTTCATCCCTCCTCGTTTTGCTAGCATCTTTTATAAGCAAGTTGATGTGTCCTTGTTTAACTGAAGGTTTAAGCTTGTAACCTCTGTAAATTATTACTCCAAGGTGTTAGGCAGGATTGTGTGTTTAATTTCAGAATAATGTAACCATACTGAACTAAATAAGCAATCAATTTGCTTAATGTATCTTTGTCTTTATCTAGTTATTAGATAAAAAAAATATGCTTTTGGCCACTGGATTTAGGGCCAGTGTTGTATAGTTGTCCCTGAAAAATCAAACCAAACCAATGAAATTTGGGTATTTAGTAAGGGAAGTTTGGTTAATGCTTTTACAATTTGTTGGTTCGGTCCTTGGTTCAATTACCTCCCAAAAAAAAAAATATATATAAAAATTTATGTCCAGAAGTTCTTATAGATTTCAATTAGCATTTAATGTTCCATTTTTTTTTCTTCCTTGTTTTGGAAGATGTGACAGTTTATTTACATTTTATTGTAATGTATCAGTTTGTGATTCTTACATCCTTTTATATGTATATGCAGATTCCTGAATTGGAGTTTGAGATTCCTCCTGAGGCACAACGCGGCAGTTTATCAACTGTATCCCCTATAAGCTCTGTTTTAAGTCGCATATTTTTTTCTTTCTAAGTGTGTTTGTTTTGGTAATATCTGTCTTTTGACTTTCCCTTGGCTTGTTCATATGTTGTGAAAATAGTGTTGGTAGTTGCACTTGCGCTCGCACTCTATCTCTACATTTGCAGTTGCAGGACTCCATTTAGTATATTGAAATGATTGGGATTTGGGAAGAAAAAAGAAAAAGATACCATTCAATGAAAATTTTGTGGCTAGCTAGTGCCTAAAATAAAAGGAGAGATTTAATTGCTTGCTTGTTTGACTGATGACCATGGAATTTGCTGAATTGAAAAATTCAAAACTTAAGCTGCCAATCTTCTCTTGAAACAAACAGTCAAACTGTGGAGGACACTGCAATGAGAAGCTTTCCCATTGTTCTTTGGGGAGCTTACTAGTGCTGAGAAGAATTTTTTTTATTTTTTTGGTAATTTATACATGTATCTTCATTTCTTACTAATGTTTCTAGTCATATTAGCTTGATGAGTAATCAACTAAATAACGGAATGTTGCATATTTTAATGTGAGGGGCTGGATGACTTTCTGTGCAGTCTGTGATATGTTCTTCTAGGTTGCTGATGCATTTCCTGAAGTTAGACAAGCAAAATAGTTTTGGATTTTAATAATGCCTCTTACTGTATAAGTTGCTCCATATTTTAAATAATGATTCCAAAATGTGTCTTATGTTACACTATCTCTATTCTTCTCTGATCCACTTAACCATTCCATACCTGGAATAATTCTTAGGTTGAAGGTATCTTGACACGAGCTGCAGATGAATTGCAAGCACTTCAAGAAGAGCGGAAGGTGCATCTTAAGCTGATACTGTTGTTGCTTGATGCATTTTCTTGTTATGCTATTATTTTTTGGGAAAAAAAAAAAAATTCATTGGCTTTGCTTTTATCCATCTAATTAATGGTATTTCTGGCTGTCCAGAAAGTTGATCCTCAGACAGCTGAAGCAATAGACCAGTTTTTGTTGAAATTGAGAGCTTGTGCAACAGGGGATTCATCTTTCACTTTCATCCTTGATGATCCTGCTGGAAACAGCTTCATTGAGAACCCGTAAGAGAATTTAATGAAGGGAAATTTTATTGTCTGCTTCATAGTTGCATATCCACATGAACTTGCATGTTCCCAAGATCTGAACCTTCAATTCTTTTATCTTGCAATATATCTCAGATACTGTAGCTGGATTAAAATTTTCTTTTGGGATAAACTTATTTATCTTGTTTGTTATCTTTCATTATATTGAACCTCATCTCTCTTCCTTTTTTTTTTTTTGAAATGTTTTAATGATGTTATTATAATCTGTGAATAGGTTTGCTCCATCTCCTGATCCATGTTTGACTATTAAGTTCTATGATCGAACTCCTGAGCAACAGGCATCATTAGGCTATTTAGTTGACCAATCACAGTTGGGAGAATCTGGTGATAGACCAACATCAGAAGTGACAGGCACTGCGTCTGATCAAACAGGACGAGAATCTCATGGGTCTGTTGGAGCAGTGGCTGGTCAACGGGCCATTGCTCAGAGTAATAGTGCAGAAATTGCTGATGCTTTGTGTCGCTACTCTGCACCAGAAGAGGTCATGCAGTTACATTTGTTAAATATCCTACAAGTTAATTGTCCTCATATAACTTTGTGTTTTATAATCATATTACTTTGTGCATGCTTTCTTCAACAGGTGATGACTTTCCCATCGAGTTGTGGGGCTTGTTCCAGCAGGGGTGAGACTCGAATGTTTGTTACCAGTATCCTTGACTTCTTTTGTTTCTCCTTTTATTTCTTCAATATTCAATTTATTGGCTAGGGATCTATTATAATGTCCTGACTTGGGTTTCCATTGTCTCATTTGTGGCAGTCAGCTAGTCATGGTCATTAAATATCCTTCGTCTTTAATTTGTGTTAGATTCCTTTTATGCCCGGTTACTTTGAGTTTCTGTTCCATATTTACATTTTCTGATAAAAAATTCACTCTTATCATATTCTGAGATAACTAATTCTGATCAGATTAAGTTGTTAAATTAATGGATCAAGAAGGGAAAAGGTACTTTACCTCAGCCTCTTAAAGAAATCTAGATAGAAATCTCTAAGTGGTAGAATATCCAGCCTCTACCAATGCATATGTCATCATTGAGCATGTTGAGGTGAGACTAATGATTGTCTTGGTAGATGCCGATAACTTGCTATTTCAACTCCTAATTTTCTTAATAGGCTCCATTTTAAAAAGCACATTTGCAGGATTCCTAAGTCTAAATTATGTAGTTTCTTGTTTGGGATTAGGATTGTTACTGTTGAATATCTATGTGATCTCGCTGTTGCCTTCATTGTGCATTTTGTTATGGTGACTAGTGAGTCAATAGTGTTATCTCCTTAATATTATTTGTAAAGTAATAGTTGTGATAAACTTTGTTTAGGACACATCTCGTTTGGGATTTTAGCTGTAGAAAGAATTTGAGAAGAAGTTGCTTGTAATTAGTTAGTATTATCTCTCTATGGGGCACCCGTCATGAGCTACTAGGATTTTGGCTCGATAATAGGTTGCTTGCACTCATAAGCTCATTAATCAATGCGTTAAGCTTCAGCTAAGAAAAGCTTGATTCATCTAGGTGAGGCTTGGGAGTTGCTCATTTATAGGTTCATGAGCCAGCTTGTATATAATATAATTAGTTTATATAAAATGTACGTGTGTATGTATGCATCTGTATTATTTATGATTTTTATGTATAAATATACTTTTTATAATATTAATTGCTAAAAAAAAAAAAAAATTCAGTGGCATAATAATTAAAGTTTACAAATTTATCATAAAGAAGTGTAAGTGTCATCAAAGAATTAACATATATATTTTGATATTTGAATAAATTTATGAATAACTCAATTTATATTACAACAACCACCATGCCTCGGTCTCAAACTAATTGGGGTCGGCTATATGAATCCTTTGTTTCAAATATCCACTTTGATCAAATTGATATCAATGCAAAACAAAGTATAAGTCGGAAAAAGTTTTCAAATACTTTCTGTAAAAAGAATTGATATTAAGTTTGTTTCAAATTAATATCAATGCTTTTTGTATTGTAACCAAATTTATAATATACATTGATTAAAAAAAAAAAATTAAGCTCAATTAAGCTTGTGAGATTTACATGAGCCTGATACTACTCATTTTGAATTGACTCATTTATTAAAGAACCAAGCCTGAGCTACCTAAAGCTCGGCTTGACTTGGCTCATTTGCATCCCCTATCTATGTATGGCATGGAGAAAGTCATATCCTTACTGCATAGCTTGAGATGCTTGGTTGATGTCTTTTTCCTTTTTGAAGTGTCTTGGCATGCTACAGACCTTTTAGGATTTCTGAACTTATTGTAGAGGACATTATGTAATTTTGCATGAAATATGCTATTCTTAGTTGTGGTTCATGGAAGTTTGGTATTTAACGGCAAAGCTTTGGAGAGTAAATATGGTGGATGATTACAAGATGGTTTAAGGAATTTGTTTTTGTTGGCGATCAAAATTTTTTGGAAGAGATGTTGGATACTGGTTTGTACTCCTATTTCTCCTGTCTTATTTTTCAATTGCTTAAATTTCCATTCCTACTTTGTTTTTCCTCCTTGCTCTTAAGTAGCTTTTTTGCTTTGGTAAATTAGAGAAAATGATTGTTGAAAGTGAGAAATGCTTGGAAGAGATTTCTAGATATGTCCTTACTTTAATGATGTCCTTTCGTGTTTTATGTTTTTTTAACTTATGGAGCAAACTGTATGGAAGACTATGGAATCTAAAAATGATGGTTGTGGTGGGAAAATGCCATCAAATAACTCATTTGAAAAGTTTAATTTATACAGCTGAAGCTGCTGAGCTTTTTTAAAATCTTCCAATTTGCAAATTTGATCGTTAAGTTATGCACAGAATCTTGGCCTTAACAGTCTGCAGAGATTCCATACTTCCAAGAAGTAATCGTCATGGCATCTACTTGTGATGCCTGTGGTTACCGCAATTCTGAGGTTTGTAGTCATTTGATTTTACTTTCCTATTCTCCTTTCTATGTTTATTATTACGTAATATATTATTTTCAAATGCAGTTGAAACCTGGTGGGGCAATTCCTGAAAAAGGAAAGAGAATCACCCTTCATGTGAAGAACATTAATGACCTAAGCCGTGATGTAATAAAGGTTTGTTCTAAACCTTTTTCTGCAATCTAGACTTCTCTCGTGTAAGATGCAACAAAATTTCCTTACTGGTAATTGTATAGTTAGAAGGAGAAATATATGCTTGCATTCATCAATATATTGGGGATCCTATTTTTGTTAATTTCTATCATGTATTAAGATGTTTTGAGTTGTTTTCAATGCGAAACATCTCTAAGAAATCCTGAAAAGAGCATCTGAAAGAAGGAAGAAAAAGTTGCTATTGTGGGTGTCGAGGAAAATGATCATATGGGTTGAAGAAAATAGACATCCTCAGTTCTCAATGGTCCTTGCTTTTTATTTCGAGGGTCATCTATTTTTCTTCTTGCATACTTCATCCTTCTTTTTTGTGCGAGGTGATTTTCACTCTTAAATTTGTGTATTGTTCACAGAAATGGGAACTGGTTGCACAAATTGATGTGTTCCAATTGCATATACATTTTTTACAATCATTGCTCTTTCAGGGTGTTTGAGATTTTTTTTTTTTTGGGTGGGGGAGGGGACCTAGATGCAGCCATCATAAATGGTTCATGCAATGGCGGCGGAGGCAGATTCTTGACGACGGGGCTATGGGTGGAGTAGGAAACTGACAAGCATAATTTCTCCCTTGGTCTAGAGATATATGAGAGTAAGGTCAGCAAGTCTGAGCATTAGAGTGAGAGAAGAAGAGAATTGATGGCTTTTTCTGAAGCTGTAAACAGTACCTCAGGTACTGTAGCAGCAGAGAGAGAGATGGGAGATAAAAAAAAAAAAAAAAAAAAGGGGCATGGTGGAGTAGGAAAACTGACAAAGCATAATTTTCTTCCTTGGTCCTAGAGATATATGAGAGTAAGGTCAGCAAGTCTGAGCATTAGAGTGAGAGGAAGAAGAGAATTGGATGGCTTTTTCTTGAAGCTGTAAACAGTACCCTCAGGTAACTGTAGCAGCAAGAGGAGAGATGGGAGATAAAAAAAAAAAAAAAAAAGTTTAGACTCAACAGGCTGTCCAAATTAAAAAAAAAAAAAAAAAAAAGTTAGACTCACAGGCTGTCCAAATTAGATAGTTACTAATCTATTGATCAAAAGCCTGAGAAAATAATTAGGTTAAGTAGAAACTTAGAGAACTACTTTGGTTGTTCAACCAGTACCATTCTAAATAAGAAAATGTGTTTCTTGATAATCACTAAATCAGAAGCAAACAACCTTCCGATTACTAAATTCTTAAATAGTATAATACGCTAAATTTATCAACGGAAAATCCTAAATAGGAAGGTATATATATTACTTAAATAGAATACTGTTACTGGGAGAATCTGAATACTAACAAGTAAATCAAAATAAATGCTGAATGACTCATAAGAATTTATTGAATGTTTTAGATGTGCTATTTGCTTCCACTTAGGATGTGATGTGTATTCATTTGCTAATTATCTTGCTGCATTTATCAGTCAGATACTGCAAGTGTGAAAATTCCAGAGCTTGAGTTGGAATTGGCCAGTGGCACATTGGGGGGAGTTGTTACAACTGTCGAAGGTTTAATTACAAAGATAAGTGAAAGTGAGTGTTGCTTCTCACGTATGCTTCTTAGTTGCTATTATTTCATGATGCATCATTATACTGTCTCTTGTTGCCTTTGGCAATATTTACTTCTGAATGGACATAAACCGCTCTCTTACTGTCCTAGTATGTATTCTGGGGTATAAAATTAGAACTCACTTTATTCATTTGCTGTATTATTTAACAAATTAAATGTTTTATAAGATTTGCCTGTGGATTTTCTTTTTACAGCTTAAATTGTGATATATAATCATTGTACCTAATGATTTATATGTACAGGCCTTGAGAGAGTACATGGATTTACCTTTGGAGATAGTCTTGATGAATATAAAAGAAGCAAGTGGCAAGACTTTAGAGCAAGGCTGAACAAGGTAAGTTATTCCTCCTCCCCGTGCATTTCTTTTTGTTATTGCCATCAACCGGATCAAGAAACTGGAAAAAATAGTATATTTGGCTGCAGTGAACTGTGATGGTATCTCGTAACTTGTTTGCTTTGTGAGTGCTCATAGGCCTTTTCTTTTGGCCCTAGTTGCATGTTTGCAATAATTCCTTTTTTTTTTCAATTTAAATAAAGTAAATGAATATTTTATTAACCAAGGAAAGAAAAACACTGTCTGTGATAGTGGATAGGATATTTCCTCTTAACCAATGATAGGGTGGTTAGAAAAAAAAAAAAAAAAAGAAACCAATGATTAGGGTGGTTAGAAAAAAAAAAAAAAAGAGAGAGAAAAATGGAGAGATAGAGACCAGAAATATTGCAACTTCTATAAGTTCAGTTAAAAAAAAAAAAAAAAAAAGAGAGAGAAATGGAGAGATAGAGATCCAGAAATTTGCAACTTCTATAAGTTAGTTGAATTGGAGACCTAGGAGGTGGAAAGTAAAAGCTTTTGTTATGTCTGGGAGATTGATTCAAGGCCTTCAGAGGAATATATCCAAGTATTATGCAGTGTGTGCAGAAGGCACTACTATTATTCTAATTTGAAGGATTGCTTATCCTCTATGTCAAACTCCCTTTCTTTTGTTTATGTCCCTCCTCTTATTGGATATTAGCTAGAGATAAAACTCCATGAATCAAAAAAGGCTAGAAAAATTATTTCTTCATAATTAAATCAATAACTTTAATTCCTTAACATTTTTCTTCAATTTATACTTGAAATTACAGCAATTATGATGTAACTCAGCATTTTCCCTTGCAAAATCGCAGTGTGAATCAAATGTGTTGACAAGATGAAATTTCCTACTACTTCCATTATTATGCTTTTTTCTTGTGTGGATACAACTACTCCTGGCATATATATTCAGCTAATACTGATTTAATAATAAAAGGAATTGTAGGTCTATATTTGTTGCTTGGAGGGTGGGTGGGTTTGTCTTCATTTATTTTGACCACTAGTAATTTTCTTTCTTTTCAGCTTTTGAGTTTGGAAGAGCCATGGACTTTAATTCTTGATGATGGATTAGCGAATTCTTTCATTGCACCAGCAACTGATGATATCAAAGATGACCATCAGTTACAATGTAAGCTCTTTTTGTTTCTGTTCTGGCATATAAATATGTTCTGCATTAAATCCATTTAGAAAAATTCATGCAGTGTATAAGATGAGAAATAAGAATTAGTTTCCATCATTCACAAAACAACTTCAAGTTTAGGTTTTAAAAAAAAAAAAATTTTATGGTGGACATCACATTCTCAGTTTGTTTGGGCTGCGATGAACGTTTCCACCTTGTAGTACAAATAAGGGACTCGCACCCACCAATTGGGTGTGATCTAGTTGGTCATCCTATCTCTTGTAAAAAATATACGAGTGACGTCTCGAGTTTAAGTCCTCTCCACCACAAAAGGTTATCACCAATTTGATGAATATTATTCAAAGGAGAGGGCTGCTTCATGTTATGTAGCTCACAATGTTATTTCGGTTTATTAAGTCTCCCATATTTCCAAAAAAAAAAAAGGACTGCATCCTGACAGTCCCATCTCTTTTAAGAATTCTGGATGTACCGAATAAAAAATTGAATGAATAAACTATGTGCTGATATGACTACCTTTTTGTTTGATTGATGTGGTCGAGTTTGCTATCTTTCAGTTGAGGAATACAAGAGGTCTTGGGAACAGAACGAGGAGTTGGGACTGAATGATATTGACACTTCTTCAGCTGACGCTGCTTATAACTCGACAGACGTCTTAAACCAGAGAACAGAAGAGTAAATTATTTTGTTACATTAATATGTTTAACTGTCAAACAAAAAAACCAAAGGTATTTTTATTTTTGTATTAGCTAATGCTATCTATTAATTGAGTTTCCATATGCCTTTTTTTTTTTTTTTTTTCTATCTATTAATTGAGTTTCCATATGCCTTTTTTTTTTTTTTTTTTTTGGTTCTTGGGTTTTTTTTTTTTTTTTTTGGTTCTTGGGGATTGGTTAATCGATCAACTCCCATCTGAAAACGAGGAATGACAATGAAGCGGAGCAAGGTAGGCGGTAACATTGCCCATTCCCACCCTGTATAAATAGCTGGTCGGGTATGGAAAGCATAGGCAATGTTACTGTATTATAACTATAGACGAATGAGTTACGAAATAGTGCCTTACATTTCACATGCAGGTGGTTTAAATGTTAAAATTTTTAAAACTACCCTACTTTTGACGATTACAACTTTTTAAGTGCTGAATGGATGATGTGAACCGGTAATTGTATTGAAATTACCCGGACAACCAGTCCCAATTCATTGGGGAACCCGTTTAGTACTGTTTCTTCCTTTTCACCTTTTGTTTGTTCTCATTTTCCTCTAGCCACTGTTGAAAATTGGAATGACGCACTATCATTTTGTTTTCCAAGATTTCTTCCTTTTTGGTTTCAAAATTTTAATGATAATAGGACTGGTGATGAGTTGCTTTAAGGCCATGACCTGTTGTAATTATTAATAGATATTTCATTAGTTAAAAACTTGTAAAAATTATTAATTTCAAAGTTATATTTGTTCATATATCAAATTAATATTTTATATATAAAATTCAAAAACTTTTAACTTTAAAAATTGTTATTGGTAGCGTGGGGGAGCGAAAATTATTTTGTTGTTAAAACGAGAAGCTGGATGTTGGACTAAACATCATTCGGAAGAATAGAACTTATCAATTTACTCCTTTTTGACTAAAAATTAGATTCAAGTTAAACTGAACCAAAATAGTCATGTTCCAAATCGGGGCAGAAGCCACATAGTATATTATGAAACAAATTAGACCTTTTAGAAAACCCCAAGGATCAATTTGACCTTTACAAGTGAACGCTTCTTCAAATGGCAATTAAACCTATTAATCTGAAATGGTGCAATTCTTGCCACAAAAGAGAAATTAAAACAAAGACGTTTGAAATTCGCATTTCCTCCCAATCAGTTAACTCCATTTTTTCCTACAGAAACTGTAAGCCATCAAAACACTTTTGGAAGTATTATTCATTACTTTGGTTGCTGTGAGCCTCTGGTAGCAAGCAATCTCAGTCATCGCTATTCAAAACGTCATGTTTAAGGAAAAGTAATTAACCATCTCATCCAACTGCTGGTTGAGAGTTCCCTCCTTTCCCTTCAGTTCTGTAGCAAACATTCTCAGTGAACTTCCAGATCAGTGCATAAGCATTTAGGGCATGAGTAATACCAATGCCTAAAACCTGAAAAGAATAAAATATCAGAATAACTATATGTCTCAAATCTATAAGTTACCACCAAAAAAAAAAAAAAAAAAAAAACTATATGTCTCAAATCTATAAGTTACCACCAAAAAAAAAAAAAAAAAAAAAAGATCCCCCATTAATGATGCAAGTCAACCATAGGGTGCAAGAATAGAAAAAAAAAAAAAAAAAAAAAAAGATCCCCATTATGATGCAAGCAACATAGGTGCAGAATAGGTGAGAGATAATGAAGTTGAATCTGTAACTTCTTAATATCATATTAGTCCTAAACCCATAATTAGGAATTATAAATGATCAATGCACAAGCAATTGAATTTGAGAATCAATGAAATCAGAGTTTTGCAACCATAATCTGAAAACCATAGAAAAAAGAGAGGATACCTGATATCGTGGGTCCAACCTCACAGCATAGGGAGAAACATCATCTCCTATCCTATTACAATTATCCCGTAAATTTGATATCTCCTGTGTCAGACAGCACACATCAGAATGACCACCAGACGCTTTCTCTCCCCACCCTTCAAGTTTAAAAGGTGCAAGACCAGAGGCTGAAACAGTGCTAGGAGAGGACATATTTAAGGTCTTGCAATAGTTGATCTCGTCCGGTTTGCTACAAATGCATATTTAGAGAGACAAAAGACGAGAAACTAGACCAACAGGGGGGTTTTGGTTCCAAGGTACAATGATTAAGACGTTCACATAGCCCATATCAAAAAACAATAAATCAGCTATTAGAAATCCTACTTCAGATGCCAAGGTATTGGCACAATAAAATTTGACATCCACCCAAGGATCTTACCGGAAATTCCTCTGTAAAATGATCTGGAAATATGTGGAGGGTATACTAATTCACACTCACAAGTTCACATATCCAAGTACATTACAATATCTAACCATTCCTGGTTAAAATTTATAAGAAGAACAGGACGAACAGGACATAGTTGCACAATCCTTAATAGTTTGGCATTCACTTATTGATATTTTTGGTGTGAGGTCTCAACACATACTGATAATAGGGCTTATAAATCAGGTTCAGGTTGATCATAAATGATATGTATGCCTGCATATTGTTAAATCAAAACATAATCAATAATATCAAAATATATTGTCTCCTGCTTAGACTGACAAATCCACATGAAATTTTCAATGATAAGAAGTCTGTATGTTAGTTCTAACATTCAAGAATTCAGATAAGTATATGCAGACAAGAAAAAATGCAAAAAGAAAGCAGGACAAAGTGAGACCAACGAACACAATCATACCTAAGGTTTTCTACGCAACCAAATCTAGAAAAGAGGCAGTCAAATTGCCTCGGAAATGCATAGTACCCTTGTAACTCTCACTATCATTTTTATAAGTTAAGCCTTCATTAGGGAATCTCAATATGATTGACAATGCATCCTCCATTATAATCAGTATCCACGTGGAATACACAATGACTCATAAATACACAAACAGCATCCCTTTAAATCATCCAATATATAATTTAAATGCCGCAGCATCAAAGCTTCATTCCAACAAAGAAGCTCAGTTAAGATAAAAAGAAAGCATTTATCAGCAAGTATATGATTTTGACATCAACCTTTGTGTCCTATCCCAGAAAGCGAGAAAAGGGAGGGGGGAGGGGGATCCAAAAATAAGAGTGGAGGTTATTAAATAATTCAAGGAATTAAAAAATTCCCAACATTAAACAATTGCAGGATGTCGATCAAAACTATTAGGAGATAAGTCATTGAATCATTAGCATCCATTGTTCTTCACTCAACAAAGAAATTAAATATCAAATCAATTTTCAAACTTGAGACCAGTTACCAAAAGAAGGGGAGCATGAGAAGATTAAAAGCAAGAGATTTCATGATAACCACTATCTATGTGGAAACAGACTTTAATTTCCTGAGGCGTTTAATGGAAGGGCCAATGATACTTATTCCCTTCCGGTTCTTCTTCATAGATTTTGCTTTCTGTTTCGCCTTTTTTGCAGCAGGCATCTCCCTAATGGGACCTGGAGGTATCCCTTTCTTAAGTGCACTTCCTCGAGGAGTCACAGATGGAGGTATTCTCAAGCTTTGCGGAGGTAAAGGACTGTGAGGCTTCCATACTAAGTTGTTTTTCATGGAAAACCTTACTTTCTTTGCACTCTTCTCAGTACTCTTGGCTGTTGCACCGCCTTCAGCATTTTCTTCACCAGTTGACCCTGGATTTTCTGATTGCTGTCTATCCTTACTTTTTGCTCTCTTCCGTTTCTTGGATATAGTACTTTTTCCAGTGACTTCAGGAACATCACAACCACTTCGGACTTTATTATCCAAGCCCATTTCATCAGCAACTTTCTCAAACTGCATCTGGAGGTTTGATATCACAGATTCATTAAATGTTATTAAATTAGCATCATGGTTGCTTTCTTCATTTGCATTGCCATTATTTGTTATAACCAAATTATCTTCTTCTTCAGTGTCACAATTAAAACTGCCACCATTATGCTTCTTAGCCTTTTTTCCACTACTACCTGAGGCCTTTTTAGACTTTTTGCACTTTCTCAAGCGGTTGCTACTAGACAATTTTGCAACATCAGTATTCATACCGTCCACTTCCACGTCCATTTCAGTGGTGATAGGAACCAATTTTGGCACCTCATCTTCATCATTGTCTTGATTAACCTCAGGTAAAGAGATATCAATCCCTGAAGATGCAAAATCCTTCTCCAACTTCAAAAACAATTCATGCAAACGAAAAAGAAGTTTCCTATTCCCTTGAGGACATTCTACTGCCGAGCCCAATTCATAAAATTTGGCAGAAAATCCGAACACCAACGCTATTGAACCTAAAACCATTTCATCATCCACAAAATTAACATCATCCTTCGATTTCTTGAGTTCTAACAGCTTATTTCCCATTTCCAGCAACGAATTAAACACATTACTCTTAATCTTATCCAACAAAATCTTATCAGACACTTTTCCCATGACTGTAAGAAAAGGTCCCAAAAGAACATGAATCATTGGCTTACTCAAAGGAAGAAAAGGTTTAAGTTCCTCAAGAAAAACAGAAGCGATATGATAATTGACACCGTTGCCCAACAATTTATCATCAGCCAAAAAAGTATGTTGTACCAATACATCCATCAAACGAGTAGAAAGCTCCGAATCCCACGAATTTCTCTTCATAATATTGAAAAAGAAGTGCAGAAACTTACGAATCAAAAGATAAAACTTATCTAACCTTAGCCTATCTATGCCTGTCCACTCGCGACGCATAGTAAGTAAAAACACTGAAAAGTACTGGATTGATACACGGAGATCAAGCTGAGGAAGCAAAGAAGAAAGACGATGGATAAGATGGGCCTGGGGGCCCGCCTTATCGGAATGCCATACGCAGTAGAAAAGCCCTTTCCATAGCTTTTTCATATCCTCGTCGGGGATTTGCGATTGAGAAGGAAGCCAGCTCTTTAACAGGAGGCCAAGGGCTTTATTACGGGTTTTGTTATCGCAGGAAGCTAGCTGCTTTATCAGTGACGGCTCCGCTTGGGCTTCGTCCATTTTTCCGGTGACGGAGAAGGGGGCGGCGAATAATCGATCCGTAACTCTTCTCTGATAATGGAAAATGGGGTCTGGCTTTGGGGAGTTTCTTTAAAAACTCTGGTTTTTAGGGTTTTGTGTAATAACAGTTTCTTGGTCGCCGTTTATATGCAGTTAAAAAGCATATGTGAAGCCAAAGTGCGGTCAGAACCCTATATAATTATTCTTATATGCAATCAAGTACTCTTTTCCCCTATTTTGTAGAATTTGATTTAATTTCTATTTCCATTGGATTTTAATATTTGCTGAGATTTGAATTCTAATACACATATTTTTTAACAATAAATAATATTTAAAATTTATTAAACAAATATTAGAAAATTTTAAAAACTTAAGAGAATTATTTTTGGTCAAAAATAAACAATAAACCCCAAAATAAAAGCTTAATGAATCCATATCACACACAAGCACACAACCAAATATGGGTCATACTATCAGAAAATCGAAAGAAAAATAAAAATAGATATAAATAAAATTAGGAAAAATGAAACATGAAATCTTTGTAAAAAGAAAAATTAGAAAAACAAAACAAATGAAAAAACTAGTTACATCTACAAAATAAAATATGTAGTTTCGTTCCATAATTGAAAAAATAAACAGTCGAAAAATTAAAATTTTCAAGTCAACTGTAAATATCGTATATATGCATATATATATATACCGAATATACATATACCAAATAACACGTTGAATGCATAACATGTGTGTGTGGATACAATATATAGACAAATTAAATACAGAATATATATTCAAAATGCGAATAAAATTCATACAATAACAAAAAAATAACTCATTTGATGCCTAGAAATCTATAGAAATCTAGAATTGCGGCCAACATCAACCGAGAAGAAGACAAGAAAAATTGGAGAAAAAAAAATATAATCAAATTGAAAATAATAGATTTTCAATTGTATAACAGAAATCGGTTTTATGGTAAGAACAAAAATAAAAATAAAATTGTAAAACATGAATTGATTTTCCAGTAAGAACAGAAACAGAAACGAAAAATAAAATTATAGAATAAAAATAGATTTTTTCGATGAGGACTCTCACGTCTACAGCGACGACTGTCACACTAATTTCACGCCTGCCAGTGAAAGAAAAAGAAGAAAAAAATGAATAAACATTAATAACAAACAGTAGCATCCAAATAGAAAATAAAAGTCTCATTAAGTAAAAGGGTAAATAAGTAAATAACAAAACTTACATTTTTTAAACTAAAGTTTCAAAATTTGACATATACTACAATATCTCTCGTTTATTATTTTTCGTTATTTAATCTGATTTTTTCTCAACAAGTATATTGTCAAATTACTGCATCACTATAAATTAAATTTTAATATAAATAAAATTAAAGGGTAACGTTATTTTCAAATATAAGATTGTTAAACAAATGCAAAAGTTGATTTGATAAAATTACCTTTATCACAAAGAGAAACACTATTTTTACTCGTGTAATTTTCTTAACTATCCTCTTTCTAAATCCTTCTATTATCTATAAAATTATTTCTACACAACTCTTCACCTATTAAATTCTCACTCTTTTATTCCATTATCAATTACCGCATCACTACCGGTGAATCTTATACTTGGATTTCTAATCTTTTGTATAAATAGGTGTTATCCCCTAAATTATGTAAATCTACCATTGCCATATCTTCGGTCTTAGAAAAAATATCCAACGACGTTAAATTCTTTGTATGTTGACAATCAAAGGAAGTGATTTGGTAAATTAGTAATTGAAGTTACTCCGACTTTAAAAATTCTTAAATCGGGGGGATGGGTCGTCTAGTGAATTGCCCAAGGTGGCGAGCACTACAAAAATCGTAAAAATGAAAGGCCAACGAAGTTATTCGACGACAGCTCTATTAGGTAAAAATCTTCAGATTAGAGTGAAATTTAGCAATGAAATGCAATTTAGTCAGAGCCAGAGATGATTTTGACTAGGATAGATTCCATTTGAAAATAATTTTATTGCTTACAAAATACATGATTTGCTTTTACTTGTCTACAAAAATGTTTAAATCTTATGAGGTTTCAAATTTGCATTTCATGTACAAAGAAAACAATTAAAGAAAAGAAGGATAATTTAGTCAACAGAAAAATACTTGCTATGTGGTTAGGGTTGTAAATAAGACAAACTGCTCGTGAGCTGCTCGAGAAAAACTTACTCGAGCTCATTCGATAAGCTTATTGAGTCGAGCTAATGAGCTCGTCTAATAAATAAGCTGAGTTCGAGCTTGGCTTAGTAGCTTCCGAGATGACTCACAAATGAGGTCATTCAATTAGGCTCACAAGCCGGTAAAGTATGTGAACCGCTCGTGAGCTAGCTCAATAAATACGCGTCTTTTTAGATAGAGTTCCTTTTGATAAGAGTAAACCTAAAATCTTTTTTCTTTGCAAATTGAAACCGTTGCACTCTCTCTCAAAAATTGAAAGTTTTGTATGATATTTTGTAAACTCAAAGTTATTACATATTCCCAGGCATTGATTGAAAAAAGTTTTGAACTTTTAATAGGTACTTTTTCGAAAAATGATAAAAGCAATTTTGCTTTCTGGATTATTTTTTATTTTCATTATTTTTAACCGATTTTTGTTGGTATTTGGTAAACAATTAAGTGTTAATTTTTTATTGCTTTGAGCAACGCTTTTCAAGGGTAAATCTTTGTTCTTCTTCCCAAGATTCATAGTCTTGTTAGGCACTTGGATCCACACGCAAGTGTAAATCTTTCCTCTTTTCCCCCTTCCTATCCTCTTTCCCTTCTAGCTCTTTCTCTTTCCTTAATTCTTTTCTTTCCACCGTTCAACCCTTCAATCACTCCCATGGTATCACCACCAATCCTCAATCAAACTACCACTCTCACCATCTTGCCATTAAATACCTTCGATCACTTTCATGTTATCACTATTAATTTCCTTTTCTCTGTCTCTCTATAGGTCCTATCGATTGTGGCCTTACTTTGTCCAGAGATGGGGTTTTGACAACTATGCTTGGCCAGTTTTAGTCTTAAAATTTGCAGATTTATGTTCAATTTATTCTTGTTGGATCTCTTGTTAAGAAAGGGTTTTAAAACGATTCAATTAAAGTTTAAAATTGCAAATAATTTGATTGAAACAAGGACCAATTAATCAAGAAATTGCAAATGATTTAATTAAAGTTTGATTCAAGGTGGATGTTTTTTTCAAGATCTCGTTAATTAATTTAGGTATTCATTGTCAATTTTTTTTTTTTTTTTTAATTGGGATTGCATTTTGAATTTTGTTATTTAGATTTGTTTTAAAATCAATATTAAGTATTTATGGAAGATTATGATGAGGAGTAATTTATGTGAATGCAATAAGAAATTCTCCATGGCTAAATACTCTTCTTTTCTCAAATTTTCTAGTTATCATTCAATCGGTGCATTCTCTAGAATCTCATTTGCTTTTGCTAGAATTTCAATTCCATTATCAATTAGCAGTTTTCTTATAGCTCGATTTCTACACATTGTTATTTTTTAATATTTGTTTTACCAATTTTAACAATTAGTGAATACTTCTTAACTATTTTGATTCGTCATTTTTAAATGATCGATGATTGATGTGATTTTTGTTGTATTTGAGAGGATTTGATTCATAAAATGTGGTTAAAGAAATCGTGAATGAAAAGTAACATTGTTTCTCTTAAGGAAAGGTAGTGTTTGAAGGAGTCGGTGATGATGGCGTTGCTGATGGTGGGATTGTGTTTGAAGGAGAACGTGAAGCAAAATGCAAATTCCGTGCTAGATCCACGTGGCATACAAATGTCAAACTCACTTATGCCACATCAGCTGCTAGAGAAGCAATTTGGGGGTACTTTGTACCATTTAGATTTTCAGTGGTCCACGTGAATGTCAGATATCCACTTGTAAATTTTTAAAAGTTACATCACTAAATTAATTGTATTTTTCATTACACACCGAAATCAAAAAAAATTGATCCCCTATTTAGAAAAATTTACAAATCCAAACTTTTATGTTTAATATGAAAAATGGAATTAAATTCTATAAATTAATTAATTTTATAAATTTAAATATAACTAAATTATTTGAAGGAGTCGGTGATGATGGCGTTGCTGATGGTGGGATTGTGTTTGAAGGAGAACGTGAAGCAAAATGCAAATTCCGTGCTAGATCCACGTGGCATACAAATGTCAAACTCACTTATGCCACATCAGCTGCTAGAGAAGCAATTTGGGGGTACTTTGTACCATTTAGATTTTCAGTGGTCCACGTGAATGTCAGATATCCACTTGTAAATTTTTAAAAGTTACATCACTAAATTAATTGTATTTTTCATTACACACCGAAATCAAAAAAAATTGATCCCCTATTTAGAAAAATTTACAAATCCAAACTTTTATGTTTAATATGAAAAATGGAATTAAATTCTATAAATTAATTAATTTTATAAATTTAAATATAACTAAATTAAATTCTATCAAACATGTGAAATTTGCAAATGAATTTTTACAAATTTAAACAATTTAAAATTTTATAACAAAATTTTTTATCTTCTAATCTTTTAAAATTATTATTAAGTATTTAAATATGAACAATTTATTTAATTTAAATAGAATTCATTTAAATAAATTTATATTTTGAATTTATTTATAGCAAAGGCCAGTGAGAGTTAAAATATGAACATTATCCTAGTAAAATTAGAATTACAAAATCCAGACGACCCGTCTTCCACAAAACGTGTCTTCTTAGACCTTAATCAAACCCATCATACGTTTAACACCACGTCTGAACCCTAACCAGCCACCGAATCTCAAACTCTACTGTACATTAAGACTACTTACCACCACCTTCACCACCACCGACGGCCAACGTCCGGTTACCGAATACCGACATCATTATCAACGCCGATAATTTGACGTTTTCCTTCACATGACTACCTTCTCCTTTCTTATTATCTACAATTATTCATCTCTCACTATCACAGCCGGTGACTCCCCTTATTAACGCTGGTGATTGCTCCCATCGGTCAACATATGTAAATCTCATCTCTATTCCCTGCCTTTTCTATAAATTAGCTTGGTTTTCGGTTGTTTTTGGTCTGTTCTAATTTAAATACCTTTTCTCCATTTTGTGGCGTGATCGTATCGCTAGATATTACCATCGTCGCCAGCAATAGTAAGCTTTCCAATCGTTTCTTCTCTTTCTATGTTGGTTGTGATTAATTGAATTTTGTACTTTGGGCTTGCTGGTCTTGTTTTGTTTTAATTATGGTGTTTGGTAACGTAACCTGAAATTGACATGGAAATTTTAATCCTTAACTCATTAAAGAATTCCTGTCCTCTCATAATCAAAATTGGAATTTAAATTGTGAGCTTAAACTCCAATTCTTTATCTGCTTAACGCTGTTGCTATTCTCAGTCATACGAGTCTTTGTGGTCCAAATACTTGTATTCGGGAATCAACCACCATTATGGGGCTGCGAGGATGAACATTTGAATTCTTCTGGATGACTTCTGGGTTAAAATTTTGGATTTATACTGTCTGGCTGATAAAATAAAGTAAAATGTTTTAACTTTAGTTTGTTTAGTTGAACAAAAATCCAACTAAACCTGCTGTACAATTATTTTCCCTTTTGAAACTTTGCAATTTCAGGAAATTTGAGATTGGATATCCTCATATTCTTCATTTTTCTTCTGGTTACTTGCTGCTGTCTTTTTGGTTGATTTGATACTGGTGTCAGTGGGGTCATTGAAATAATTGCTTATTATTGCAGTGGAGTTTGGGGTTAATGGTGACGTGAATGGTGTGATGTTGGAAACCGTTGAGTTGGACAGCAGGGCAGGTGATGAAAATGAAATTGGTCTAAATTCTATTGAAGAGGAATTTCAACAAGATGAGGATGATAAAGCGGATACAATGTCCTTGGGTAAAGATATAATCCAGGATACAGTTTCATCTGTAGCAGTGGTTCCAGATGAGCCCTATGTGGGCCAGGAGTTTGAATCTGAAGGAGCTGCTCATGCATTTTACAATGCTTATGCCACACGTGTGGGATTCATCATCCGTGTAAGCAAACTCTCCCGGTCAAGGCGTGATGGATCTGCTATTGGTCGGGCACTTGTTTGTAACAAAGAGGGCTATAGAATGCCTGACAAGCGTGAAAAAATTGTAAGGCAAAGAGCAGAAACCAGGGTTGGCTGCAGAGCAATGATCTTGGTGCGGAAAGTTAGTTCCGGTAAATGGGTTGTTACTAAGTTTGTTAAGGAGCACACTCATCCCCTGACTCCTGGTAAAGGCCGGAGGGATTGCATTTATGATCAGTATCCGGTTAGTTCTTGCTCTTCTGTTACCCAGTGTTGGTATTGCACTAATACATGAATCTTGAGAGTCACAATATTATTGATTATTATTAGGTCATATTTTCCACATAACAACACTCTTTTTAGGGATTTCATTGGGATAGATAACTTTCAGAAATAGAAATAGAATCTGAAGAAAATATGAAGCAGCCCTAGGTTATACATATCTTTTTATTTTGCATATTTTTAGGTTAAACGCTTCGGCAGCCACAACTTTGTCCAGCGTCCTTCATGTTTTGTATCTCCTGGTTGTAGTATGTGCTTTTTAAAATCTTTTGTTTGGCAATTTTGAATTAAACCAACAGAAAGGTGACGCCTTCAACTGTATATCTCTTTGCTGCATTTATGATGGTTCACTATCAATGTGTTCCAATTTAATTAACTATTTAACTTTATGTTTGATATTACAACACCATTATCAAGGAACTTAAAGATCGGTTGGAGTGCAAGATCCTAAATCTTAGTGTTCACATTATGAGTATTAAAGTTTATATTGTTGAGGAGTTGTGATCTGGAAGCATGATTGATTGCAACAACACTTCTTATCTAGATAGATCAGGTTTTTGATAGGACAAGGACCATGTTAAGATGAGTTTTATTGATGTTTGAACTCTTCTCGTATCATGATGGTCAGGATGCTGTTGAATATCGTGCAGAATAAGGATTATTCTCTAGTTAATTTGCATAGCATGTGGGATCACCAGAAGATAGTTGATATTCACTTATGCATTTTGGGTTTATTTGGGTAAACTTTTATCATTAGAAGTGGTTAGCCCATGTGATTCATGTGATTTCAACCAAGAGGGTGGCCGATGTATACAACAAGAGGCACTAGGAAAGGCAAGCTGAAAGATCAAATAAATTTTTCTGTTGGTCTCCAGGTAGTAAGGCGGACTCGAAGCAATGTGTCACCCCATTGCTTTAAAGTTTAAATGCAAAGCGCAAAATGGCGCTTCCTTCATTGAAGGAAGAATTAGTTACAAAAATAAATAAATAAATAAATAAATAAATTAAATAAAAGGCTAGAGTTATGGATGTTAAAGTGGGGCAAAAGAATTCAGTATTGGTAAATAGAGTTTAAGAAGAAGAAGAAGAAGAAAGACTAAAGAAAAATGAATTGCCATTAAAAAAATATGTACCTGGCTCCTGGTGGAATGTATCTTTAAGTGTCCAAGATTAATTGAAAAGTTTTAAAACTGAAAACCCCCATTTTTCTGTTGCTTAAAATTTGTCTCCAAATCCAAGTTGTCACTGAGAGTCAGTAGAAAGTGAAAAGACTGTACAAGTGCTATTTTTAAGGACTTCTAAGACAAATCCCTGAAAGTGAGGGGCTCTTTTTGCTTCGTGCTTCATATGAGGTAAGCGTTTAAGCGCAAAAATCCGTTGCTTCATTGAACGCATGTTGCTTTTGGTATTTAAAAGCGTTATGCTACTTGTTGCTGTTTTCGCACTTTTGACTGCACTGGTTGGTCTAGGTTCGGTTCGGTACCTTATAAAGCCTTTTCAAATCATGATTTAGTTTTGTATTATGTTTATTAATTTCAATTAGCTCTGGTTTTACTTTTAGGACCTTTTTTTTTTTTTCAAAAAAAAAAAAAAAAAAATATTAAATTTCAATTAGCTCGGGTATTTACTTTTAGGACCTTTTTTTTTTTTCAAAAAAAAAAAAAAAAAATCTAGCTTTGCTGGTATGTGCCTGGCGTTGCCATGTCTGGGGTATTTCATTTAAAGTTTTATTAGAAGTCGTTTTTTTTTTTTTTCAAAAAAAAAAAAAAAAAAATCTAGCTTTGCTGGTATGTGCTGGGTTGCCATGTCTGGGGTATTCATTTTAAGTTTTATTAGAAGTCGTTACTCAGGTCCTACTTTGGACTAGGAATATTGTTTTTAGTTAGGATTTTGAGTCCAAGCACTTGGATGGTTTAGACTATTGGAGCAAACAAATACCTTGTAACCTATCATTTGTTAGTTTGTCAATGTTTACTATCTAGCAGTTCTCTCTTTGAGTTGTGCAATGCAATTAAAACCTATAAAATTTGAGGCTTTTTGGTTGGACTAAATCCTAGATCCCAGTTGTGTAAGGCTCATTGTCCTATTTTGTTTGCTCATTTTTCCTTTTTAATTGTGAATATAATTTGATCTGCCTGATATCTTTGGGCCCCAACCCTAAATTTTAAACCAGACAAGTTGCCCCCTAAAATTCTCCTCAAATAGCTCTTTGATAGTTAATTAATTGTGAAGTTCTCATTATAAGGGAAAATTGTATTGCATTGTCTTGTGTTTATCGAGCTACCTAATTAGTTTAATCCAACCAAAACTATGGTTATGTAGACCTATCATATGGTTATAAGTCAACATTCAAAGCATAAGGGGAAATTTTATGTTCTTTGTTTTCTCAAATATAAGATTAATCATATAGTTTTTGCTTTCATGTGGCCAGAAGGTCACTGGTTCAAGCATTGAAGAAATGCTCTTTGCAAAAAATGCAAGGAGAGCATTACAAAGGACAAACCCTGATCCTCATAGAGTGGTGACTCGTGCATTTTGGGATGCTCTTTGTGATAGACTTTTAACTCTTATTTTATTTAATCTAAGTGATGCTGTAAATTTTGATGTTAATAATTGAAACAGTTGAATGGCACAAACGATTTAGGATATCCAACAGTAGCATTTTGTTTCTCCATAGTTCTGATGACTGAAGGAAGTTCAATGTAACCATAACATGCAGACAAACAGTTTATGCTTCTATGCATAGGCCTCAAAGATTATCCATAATTTTTTTTTAAGATCTTGTTAATAATATTGGTTGTTTGATTTTGGGACTAAGCAATGTCAGATGGAACTGACAACATACTTAGCTTGATAGACGTATTATGTTCCACGGTGAACTTGAAGCTTAAGAAATCAGTATTCTTTGTATGCTTTACGCGATTTTGTTAGATTCTGCAGACAGCAAGCAGAATAAGTTCTTCATGGTCATGTTTTATAGATTCTAAATGCAAAGTTGTGTTTGCTCTTTATTTTACTTCAGGTGCATATCTACACTATAATCAATATGGCCTCGTCAGAGATGCATTGTTTGACTTTGTGCTCTTGCTAATGGACATAATTGATTTGGTTTTATATATGAAGTAATGGCACATCATCAATGAGAGAATGTGGTGTATATATTTTGAGAAATATAAAGGGGACCTAGTTTATCATGTTAAGTGTTCAGGTTAATCATTAGTTGCAGTATCATAGCTAAGTGATATTGGAGGAGAATGTTGGCACTGCTTAATTGGTCAGATTATCTTGCAGGTTTGACGGTCAACGCCTTGTAGCATAAGGAAAAGAGTTTCTTTATTGACTGTCTTTCTTTTTTTTTTTTTTTCCCCCCTTTTCTGTGGCATCTGCATGGGTACAAGTGGACAAGAGCATACTTAGTTTTGATGCCACTTACATGCTACAGTCATATTCTTTTGTTTGTTTTACTTTTACAATTTTCTTGAATAGACAAAAGGTCTACTGGAAATATTATTAAAGGGTTCACTGGAGATAACAAGGGGTTGTTATTTGTAGAAATTTGGGATAGTTTTCTGAAAAAATTTTCCAAGAAAACTGGAAAACAGAGTTTCATGTTCAAATCTATGGGAAACTTCCAAAATTTAACTAAGATGTGAAAAACAGGTTTAAGTTGTTTTCCGCAGTATGTTTTTCATTTTTTTAGAAAAAATTGAATTTTCATAATTAAAATATAATATATAAGACTTTCTTTGAAAAAAAAAATGATTTATTGAAAAATCATAAAAAAATATTTAAGTAACTTTATTAAATATTTTTGTTTTTCAATTTTGTGTTATGCTTTGATGCATTATTAATTTTATTATAATATAAAAATATGTTTATGATGATAACAGTTATTGTTCAAAAATCACAAAATGATAAAAAATTTATAATATTATCATAAGTAAATCAATAATACATATTTAAAAATTTTAAAATAAAAAGTTTGCAAATATGTTCTTTAATATTTTATTTCTTTTAATTATGAAAGTTATGAATAATTTTTTTAATTTTTGAATTGAAATATTATTTTTTTATTATTAACAAGTGAAGGCATTTTATATTTTCTGTTTTCTTTTTTTCATTTAATAAAATTCTTAACTGAAAATGGAAAACTGAAAACTGTTTTCTATAAGTAAACATACCCCATGTATTTTCAATTTTTTTTTTCTGGGAAAATTTATTTTATTGGACCTCTACATATTCTATAATCTTAAGCCAGTATGATATATTGGCATTCGAGCTTGGGGATCTTAACTGAGCTTTAAGTGTTTGGTCAACAAGAAAACAAATATTTTTGGTATTACTAAGAACCATTGTCTTCCTGAAATCATGAGTCTCATTAACATGAATTATCTGCATGAAATTTAATGAAATATTACAATACTAAAACAATCTAGTTGGTTTATTGTGAGATTAGTTTAATATTAAAGGTCAAGCTATCATTATTCTGAAGTTTCTCTTAACCTTATCCCCAATGCACATAGTTAGAGATATATGTAATGTGCTGGGCTTCCATGAGGAACCATCCCTCTCTATAAGCACAAGATCCAACCCTTGTCTTACCACTGTGGGATTCATGACCTGTTGATGTACACGTATATATTCCTTGACTTTCTAAGGATGTTTGTTCTGTTAAATTTTGATTGATGATTTTTTTTTTTTTTTTTTTAACCTTGTTGATGTACACGTATATATTCCTTGACTTTCTCAAGGATGATGTTTGTTCTGATTAAATTGCATTGATTTGATTTTTTTTTTTTTTTTTGGTTTTTTGATTATTCAGGATTCAGGATTTTATATGGACCTAGTTGTAGAGGCTCAATTTTTTTTTTTTTTTTTTGGTTTTTGATTATCAGGATTCAGGATTTATATGACCTAGTTGTTAGAGCTCATTTTTTTTAGGCTGCTAGTCTGCTAATAGGTCTTCAATCTTGCTTTCACTTCGCAGTTGGAATGAGTAAGGGGTAACTGTAACAATTCATCTTTTGTTCTATCAAATTACTTTCACTTTGCTGTCTATATTCCTTCATCTAGTGCTTGCATTCCAAAATCTTATGCCTTATTCTCCCTATATTGTGAAACTGCCCCTCTTTTTTCCATGGCAAATGGCCATATGAAGAATATTCACAAAAAATATGGTCATCCATTGTGTTCTAAGAACCATTAGGAAATGGCTAAAAGATACTTGGTACTTTTCATCTAAATTATTGATGATGTTGTAGTGATTTTGCTTTACTATCTCTATGATGCATTACAGTATCATTTATTGGGAAATATTTAGTTCTTCCAAACATCAATACTTTGAGGTGTAAAATGGTAATCATTAATGTGCACATCAGAGAATAATTCATTGTCTTGGATGTTCACTGGTATTAGCGACTTGAATTATTTCATTGATATTAATGATATTGTGCTTGTTGCTACTGCAAATAACCTTTTTAGCATATCTGTTGGCAGAATGAACATGACAAAATCCGGGAACTATCGCAACAGCTGGCTATAGAGAAGAAGCGAGCAGCAACCTATAAAAGACATTTGGAATTGATATTTGAGCAAATTGAAGAGCATAACGAGAGTCTATCAAAAAAGATCCAACACATAGTCGACAGTGTAAGAGAGATGGAAAATAAAGAGCAGGGTAATCATGTATAGGTCCAGCAATTCTTTTTTTTTTTTCCGCTCTTTTTATTTCGTCAAGTACAAAAATCAAGAATTGGTATACAGAATGCTGTTGAGTAGCAACAGATATTCTAATGGGTTAGATGTCAAATGCTGACTTTCTCTAGTTTCTTAGATGTCTAGTTAGTTGCAGATTGTGCAAATGTTTTTGAGTTAGCAGCATTCATTTGGTATAATTGTGCTCCTATTTTTGGAGCAAATGGTGAGTAGGGGAAATAGAGAGTTGATGTATAGTTCTCCAATTTCATTTTCTGCACTTTTGTGCCAAAAATGTGAAAGTGGCCTTACTTAAGAGAGCGTCATTGTGTCCTTTGGAAAGCTGCACTTTGCCTTCCATTCCGTTCTCTGTAGAACTTCAGTTTCAGTTTCTTGTTTTGTATAGCAGGAAATGTATTTCTTTTTAATATATATAATTTCTCTCTCTTTTGCTCTCTCCGAACTTATTTTTTGCCATTTCGTGGCGTTGGATTGAGATAGTAGTTCTTTTCGGCATTGCTAAATTGTTCAGTTGATTTTGATATCACCGTTTTGCCCCATGTTATACAGTTGTGGAATGTAATATATATAATGTAATCAAATGTAGTTCTAGGTTTCATTTGTTGTGAAAAATAACTTATTTTTTGTAAACTATCTATTGTCTTATGGAGAATATCTTTATCTCTGAAAAATATTTGCTGAAAAGAAAATGTTTCCCTACAAGATGTTTTTTAAAGAATTTATTTTTGTTATTTAGTTGTTATATTAAAAATTAATTAGTACATTAAAAATTTTAATTTGCAAGACAGTTTGTAAGTATACCAAAATTTATATATTTTTTTAATGGTTATTTTTAAGTATGAGATGGAATATAATAAAAATAATAAATTGTGGTTTTGTGGTTGTCGATGATGATTTATGTTATGTATTTGTTTTTTATTAAAATAAATTAAAAAATGTTTTGTTTTTCGAAAATGGGAAGGATAGTAATTTTAATTAAAAATAGATTAGTTTTTTTTTCTTAGTCATGAAAATACTTTTGGTAATTAATGTTTTTAAACGATTTAAGTCCATTTTCGGCAATTATATACAACTTTTATAATAGCTTTTAGTAATTAATTTTTGTAAACGTTTTAAGACTATTTTTGACAATTATACCGTTGGGTAATATGGCTTTTATAATATTTTTTAAGAATTGAGTAAGTTTTTTATGAAATGTTAAATACTCTAACGCTTAGAGTTTTTTTTTCTCGAATTTAACTAATTAAATAATTAATGTATTTTTTTTTGTCATTTTAAGTTAAATAACTAATTAAATATATTTTTTCTTTAAAATTAACTAATTAAACACTTAATGTCTTTTTAAAATCTTTTTTAAATAGCTAATTATACATTTATTTTTACTGACATTTCTAATTTAAATTGCTGTATAAACAAGTACTCCCAGCTAATAGAAAAACTATAAGTTATTACAATAGCTAATAATCATTAAAATAGTTAATATTGTCGAATATGCTCTAAATATTTAAATATTTTAGGAAAAGCTTTAAATATGAATTTAAGTAATTTTCATAGGAATATTAACTATATGATAATATAAATTATTGATTAGAATTAAAAAAAATATATATATGGGTAAATTATTAATTAAATTTGGTTTAGGCGGTGAGATAAGGTAAATTTGAAATGGACCTGGGATAAGTGCCAATAGTGAAGTTATAATGTTTGGAATTACAATATTCTAACTATTGCTATTTCTAATCATAAATGAAATCATATTAATGATTTTTTTTTTTTTTTTTTTTTTTTTTTTTTTTTTTTATCATAAATGAAATCATATTAATGATTTTTTTTTTTTTTTTTTTTTTTTTTTTTTTTTTTTTTTTTTTTTTGGGTTCTGGGAATAATGAATACAAATCGTTTTTTTTTTTTTTTTTTTTTTTTTTTTTTTTTTTTTTTGGGTTCTGGAATAATGAATACAAATCGTTTAAATGTATATTCAGAGCTTAAGTTTTCTTGTGGGAATCTTTACAATATGCAACTGCATCCAGTAGGTTGAATGAGGGGATGGCCACTTGCGTAATTAAAATCAGTAGTTATCTGGTAGTGTATTTCCTACACTGTTTCCTCTTCACTCGTTTCTCAATTATGAAGCCGCGTGTCCAGTTTTAAAGGCATATTATTATTTTATGACAGCTCTTGTCCAGTTTTGAGCCAACCTGGGATTTGCTTGCTATTTTAATCACTCAATCCCAAAATTTACAACTATATAAATGTCTCAGGACATAGCTTCTACTATCTTCATCACATAACATAACCGACTTGTCTCTCTTTCTATCAGATAATCTTTCTTCAATATTCTTCAAAGATGGCATTCAGTTTATTATCAAATATGCTTTTGCTTTCTACCCTCTTATTTTATTTTCTAATGGCAATATCAGAGGCTAATTTCTACAATGATTTTGACATAACTTGGGGTGATGGACGAGCTAAAATTCTCAATGGCGGCCAGCTTCTTACACTGTCTCTTGACAAGGCATCTGGGTCTGGTTTTCGGTCCAAGAATGAATACTTATTTGGCAGAATCGACATGCAGATTAAACTAGTTCCAGGCAACTCTGCTGGCACTGTCACCACATTTTACGTGAGTAGTTCTCTTCATAATTAAATCCATGGAGCCTGCTGATTAATTTTCAACTCTTTATCATTGTTCACTAAAATATTTATGCATCTATTATGTAGTTATCCTCTCAAGGACCAAATCATGATGAGATTGACTTAGAGTTCTTGGGCAACTCATCTGGAGATCCATACATTCTCCACACCAATGTATTTAGCCAAGGGAAAGGAAACAGAGAACAACAATTCTATCTATGGTTCGATCCTACATTTACCTTTCACACATATTCCATTGTATGGAATGCTCAAAAGATCATGTAAGTTAGTTCGTTTCATTTTCAGTGTTTGTACTTCTTATTTTTCAATTCATATATTCAATATAAGGTTTGTCCAAGAATTTAATTTGCAAGTTTCATATATATTACAGTTTCTTGGTGGATAATATACCAATAAGAGTATTCAACAACTTGGAATCAATTGGAGTGCCATTTCCCAGTAAGCAACCCATGAGAATTTATTCAAGTCTCTGGAACGCTGATGACTGGGCAACAAGAGGAGGGCTAGTGAAGACTGATTGGACAAATGCTCCTTTCATTGCCTCCTACAGAAATTTTAAAGCCAATGCTTGTGTCTGGTCTTCTGGGTCACCTTGTGCCGTGACGTCCACCAATTCTTTGCAGGATAGTAAATGGCAAGTTCAAGAACTCGATGCCTCAGGCAGGAATCGTCCGCGGTGGGTGCAGAAGAAGTACATGATCTATAATTACTGCTCTGACTACCAACGATTCCCTCAAGGCCTTCCATCTGAATGCAAGAGATCCAGATTCCTCTAAATTAAGATGTTACTCCCTGTCCACATGTCCATTGATTCTTTCTTTCTTTCTTTCTTTCTTGATAGGTCAATTCAGCTAGACAATGAAATATTCTTTATTCTTTGATAACATTTCTTTATTCTTTCTGTGATATATATAATACATGTAATTTCAAATTATATATTGAATTATTATTGTCTTGAACTTACATCCTGTACCTTTTCTACTCGTTTATAATTTGGTATATTGTTAGTATTCGAATCTGGCATAATTGAGAGATGCAACATTGTATAATTGATTCAGGAGGAATCAGTTACCCCAACTTCTTCTGGAACCTCCACTGAACTTATTCATGGATCCCATAGAGTAGAAAACAGAGAATTACAAACATCATCTTGTATGCATGTTTCTGAAATAGAACGGCTTCTTGATGAGTTCAAAGAGAAATTTGGAGACCAAAGAGTCTTGCGTTTGAATTGAATATGAATCACCAACTCATTGAACTGAATGATTGAGAAGTGATATTAAGTGCTATAAATAATTAATAAGCGATACTACATGGTATCATTTTACAATTACAATGGATAATTTAATATTTCCATCAAATAAGCTACACTATAGGAGTGTATATGGTCCAGAAAAAACAAGAATTGTATAATTCTCGGTCTGGTCTAGAATATCAAGATATAAAAAATAGAGTCTCAATTGGTATGTAGTTTCGTCCTGTCTTATCTCATTTTAGGACGAAATAGAATGGAAATTCATATCATAAGATAAAATAAAATGGATAGATTTAGAAGTGAATAGAGATTTTCCATAATTTTATTAAATTATTTTTTCATCAAAAAGGATAAATTACTTTATCAATTGCAATCATACAAAATTCATTGATAGAAATTTAAGTAAACGAATGAATAAAACCAGATAATATTATTATTGATTCACTACTAATTTTACATATATATAATTAATTAATTTTATATATATATATATATAAACGAATGAATAAACCAGATAATATATTATTGATCACTACTTAATTTTTACATATATATAATTAATTAATTTTATATATATATATATATATTAATAAATTTTAACTCATCATTCTTTTATTACCAATTCTTTTTTCAATTATAAATTTTAACTCATCATTGCTTTTATTACCATTCTTTTTCATGTAATTCAAATTTTAATACTTACTTGATTTAATCTCAATATCATTTTAAAAAAAATATTATAATTAACATTTTTAGTCTTTTCGCTTTCTATTTAATAGAAAAAATTTATTCAAAAAAGATTTACTTAACACATATTGTAAAACAATAGAGTAAACAAATATATTGGAAATTTAATGAATTGATCAATTTGATATTTAAAAAAATATCAATTTCTTTCATATTATTGTTTTTTTTTAAGAGCCATATTATTATTGTTATCTTAACAAGTGATTACTGTCGTTAAAAAAACTTAAAAAAAAAAAAAGGATATGAAAGTGATTTTCATAAACATGATTAGAGAAAAAGAAAAAAAGACAATACGTAAAATTTTAGATAAAAAGATTATATTTGGAGAATTGAGAGAGTTGCGAGCTGAGAATTTTAATTCAATGAGATATTTATCACCAAAATTTGTAAAACTCAGCAGAAAGTTTTTATTTTGATTATTATAGAAATTAATATTGGTTGTGTTTAATATTACAAAAAAAAAATTAAGTAGCGATCATAAAACGCACAAGTGAGAAACATCAAATTAGTTAGAACAGCAAAGGTTGGTTGCAGGGATTAATCAATCAAATGAAAATGATACAGGTGGCTTCGTAACCTTTATGCTAATATTCTCCCATTTTTAGTTTTTATGAAAGAAAAAGTCATTTTCACCATCGCCAAGGAATAAAGTTGTAGAATTTGTTGTAGATAAGGCTGTTACTAGATCCTTCAAGAAGCCCACCTTTTCTTTGCTCTGCAGGAAGGAAACTAATACAAGCAAACAAGAAGTATCCTTCCTCCCTTTTTCTATATATAGTCTTTATACACGTATATATGCACACACAACACAAAGTCACAAATACTGAAGAACTGAGGATGGGGAAAGCAAGTAGAATTGGAGTAGGAATGGACTATTCAGCTACAAGCAAAGCAGCTCTCCGTTGGGCGACAGAAAATCTGATAGATAATGCTTCTGATACCCTTATTCTGATTCAAGTTCAGCCACCCAATGCCGATCATACCAGGAAGCACCTTTTTGGAGACACCGGATCTCGTACGTATACTTTACAGTCTGAGATTTCATCTTCAATTCTTCTTAATTGCAGGATTAATATGTATATGTTGTTTTGTTTCTCCTTCTTCTTCTTCTTCGTATTCGTCTTCTTCAGCTTTAGTTCCCCTTGAGGAATTTAGGGAGATCAACTATTCAAAGCAATATGGGTTGAGTCGTGATCCTGAAGTTCTTGATATTCTTGATACCGTGTCAAAGACTAAAGGGGTATGTATGAATGTATTTATTTATTTATGTATGTATGTATGGATGGATGGATGTCAAGGACTAATGGATGGATGGATAGCAGGCTAAGGTGGTGGCAAAGGTTTACTGGGGAGATCCAAGAGAGAAGCTATGTGATGCTGTGGATCATCTTAAGCTTGACTCACTTGTCATTGGAAGCAGAGGTCTTGGCTCTATCAAAAGGTACTTCTTTTGAATTTTCTCATATTGATATATATAATTTTCTCATTTTCTTTAAGCATCTTAATTTTTTTTTATTTTAAATTGGATAATGAACTTTTAATCATATTTATGTATAATTTTACTTGCCTTCCAGAAATTACAATTAATTGCTGTAATTAGATAGAGTTTGATGTTAATTAGAAGTGATATTGGAGGAGTTATATAAAAATTTTGATGTATGACAGGATATTACTTGGGAGTGTTAGCAACCATGTGGTGGCAAATGCTTCATGTCCAGTTACTGTGGTTAAGGGCTCACAGCTATCATCCAAATCATAATATATATATATATATATATATAGTGCAAATGCTAGTATAGTCGCAGTTACATTCGTGGTTACAGGCTCACAAGCTAATATCATTACCATAAGTATAAATTATATATTATAATCTAACCAATACTATATGCATATACTATGCAACTTTCATAGAGCCATATATATATATATATATATATGCAACTTTCTAGAGAAGAGAGAAAATACAAAAGCAGCCTACAATGTATGCAAATGGCAATTGGCTCTTAAAATCATATCTCACTCCCTTTAGTGGGGTTGGCTTGTACATGGATTGCTTAATGAGTTATTCTATGCTTAGTATCTAGTATTCAGTTTCATGTGATATTTGTATTAATTTGATGTGATTAATGAAATTATAATATATTATATTAAAAAAAATTGTATTTGTTAATGTTTTGTAATTGACTAATAAAGCTCTTGCATTATTTTAGAATTTTAATTAATTATATTATACGCGGAGTTATAGCTTCCACTCAAGTTTAAAAAATATTTTTATAATATAACCTTAAATTGTTGAAAAATTTTTAAAAGTATATAATACGTGAAAATTTTTATCCGTACTGAATAACCGAAAAACTTTTCTAGTTTCGCCGTTGATTTCAATTCTAATTTCACCCAAAAATCAATTTTAATAGTTTTAAATTCATAAAGATCGATCCATTATGTTGGCTTTTTTTCTTTTAAAAAGAGAATTGCTTTATTATTAGCATCAACAAGCAGTGCATCATGAATAATCAATAACCATAGTCCATTATTTGATTCTATTTTTTATCTTTTTTTTTTATTTTTATTTCTAACATTTATTTCCATAAATATTATTCATGAACCACTAATTCAACCACAGCCTAGAAAAAGTGTCATCCACCAACCAAACATCACCTAACATTTTTTTTTTTTTTTTTTTTTGAAAATTTTTTTTTTTTGAAAAAGAGAAAAAGATAAATGAAAACCTCAAAAGATATCTCAAAAACAAAAATGTAGTACTTATTCAAATTTTTGCAGAGTAACAAATACATAAGCATCGGATTTTTTTTTTTTTTTTTTTTTGAAAAAGAGAAAAAGAATAAATGAAACCTCAAAAGATATTCAAACAAAAATGTAGTACTTATTCAAATTTTTGCAAGTACAAATACATAAGCATGAATCAACAAACATCAAAACAAATAAACAAACAAACAAAATTTGAAGCCAAAAGCTTGATTCATTCTCCCATATATATAGATACTCGTAAAATTTAACAAACACCATTCATTTTCTTCCTTTCCATAACAAACTTCCTCCAAACTGTAGTAATCTCCCTTTGGGTCTCTATAGCAGTTTTCTTCACAACAACCTTATTATCTCCACAAATTGATATCTTTGTGCAATGTTTGGATGGTAAGGTATCAAGTTCATGTAACACTTTTTGTATATCGTTCACAAGCCTCTCTGCAAGAGTGCGAGAAAAGTCCTCCCTTATAACCACACGTAGCACCGTCACATTTTGGGCGTCCGGCGGCATGGTGTACGCCGGAACAATCCAACCGTACCGCCTTAACATATCAGAGAGTTCGAATTCATTGTGATGACTACTGTCTTTTAATGAAAAGGCTACTAATGGTACCCCCATGTCTTTAGAAACAATGTTGAACCTTCCTGTTTGCTCCAATCCTTCTTTAAGCACTATCATGTTGTCTCTACAATTTTCCATTATATTTTTGTATCCCTAACAAAATCATTTCACATTCATAACCCAAATTAGAAATCTAATGCACTGCATAGCAAGATAACTATATATGTATATATATATTAGAGATACCTCATAACCCAAGCGAATTAGTTGATAATATTGAGCGATGACTTGACTAGATCCTGCAATATGCCAAATTATTTATTAATTATGTGTCGCTAGAAGTCTAAAATTAGCATTTTGATGGGAACTCATCAATTTATTTTAGATACCTTTGGAGAAATTGAGGGTGAAGGTGGGTTGATCAGCTCCAAGGTAATTAATATGGAAAATGAGCTCTTCAGGCAAGTCCTCTTTGCTTCTCCAAATGACCCAACCAATACCAGCATATACAAGCCCATATTTGTGACCACTAACATTAATACTCTTAACTAATGGTAATCTAAAATCCCATTCAAGTTCTGGATACAAAAATGGTGCAATAAACCCACCACTTGCTGCATCCACATGAATCGGGGTTTCCCATCTGCAAGTTAAAGAGACATTCCGACATTCAAGAATACAAAATTATAGGGGACGCTTATAAGGACGATGCTATTGTCCCCAAAATTACTCGAGACAATTTTGAACGTCCTATAGTATACTTTTTTTTTTTTTTTCTTTCTATAGTGTCAATTTGAATTTAATTTCCTGTACTTATAAAGATAAGCAAGCGTACCCTGTTTCCTTATTCTTCTCCATCAAAAGATCATTCAATTGCTTTACATCTTCAAATTCTCCATTGAGGGTGGAGCCAAGAATAGCAGCTACACAGATTGTGTTCTCATCCACCATCTCCACTGCCTTTTCAGGGTCTAGTACATAATAATCCGGCTTTAGCTTTACTTCTTTCAATTCCACCTCAAAGTACCTTGCAAATTTCTCCCAGCAAACCTTCATGTGTATATATAAACTTTTCTACATTAGAAAAGCAACTCAACAATACTTTTACAGAACCAGATCTATATATCTGTATATAAATAGTACCTGAACATTGGCACCAGTGACAATATTAGGGTTATCAATGGGTTTTCCTTGAGCTTTTCTCCTGTTTTGCCACTTTCTCTTAAATGCTAAACCAGCCAACATTATTGCCTCTGAAGATCCAACTGTTCCAACTCCAACTGCAGCCTCTGCTTCTCCAAGTGGTGCATTAAAAAGATGTGCTATCATGTTCACACATCGATTCTGTATATATATGTTTATAAATTTTCACTTTGATGTATCATGTGACAATAGTTGTAATTTATTTTATATACAAATTACTCAAACATGAAACCAAAAATCCTTTAGATTAAACCATGGGTGAACAGCATTCCCAGACGAACTTTTCAGGTTTCGAAAACCTAGAGTTGCCATTATTAGGAATGCTTTACCTGAATACCACCTGAGCACTAGCGTGGATTGGTGCAATCCAAAAAAGAAAAGGACTCAAACATGAAGAATCTAAAGATATATAACTTGCCTGTAACTCAGTGGTGACAGGATACTCATCCATGTCAACGTAGTTCTTGTTGACAGAAGCCATAATAAGCTTATCACATTCAGGTTCCATCCATGTAGTCACAAAGGAAGCGAGGTTAAGTCTAGGATTCCCATCCAACATTAGCTCATCATTGATGATTTGATAAGCTGCTTCTTTAGGGATTGAGTTCACTGGCATCTTGAACCTGAAACAATTTAAATATTTAATGCAAGAACTAAAGAACAATTGAAGAGAATGGAAATATATAAAAAGATAGAAATGAAATGAAGACCTGGGAAGTGACGCTCGAACATAACGAGAGGCAAATGTTGAATGAACAGAAACATCTGTGTCTAATGCAGTCTTGGAGAGAGCCATCTTTCTGTGTGTTTGTGTTATGGGAAAGGGAAAGAAATTAAACAGAGAAGTGAAGTTAGATTAAAGAAATAAATTGAGGAATTGTATAATCACATAACCTTTTATATCGGACTTTGGATCAGTCCTTATGTGCGGCTTAAATGCAACAATTTACGGGGGAGTGAGAGAATTGGTAACTTATCAAATTCTTGGCTTCATAAGCATGAAAATTAATTAGTGGTTACTCTTTGTTCTTTCAAATTACCTTTTCTTTTATTGGTTTAGAGGAAATTAGAGTTATTTATTACATGCAACAGTTTGATTGAAAAGCTTACAATTTTACCACTCCTCTCCCTACGTTTCATATAGGAAAACTTTATCTTTTTGGTATTCTTTTTATATAAAAAATTTTATCTAATTTGATAATTTTGGGAACCATATATCAATGAGAAAAATCTATTTTATCCTTGTATTAGTCTTTTGTAAAGCTTTTAGTGTAAGAGATTTTCAAAATAGCGGTAGACAAAGATATTAACGAGCATTTAATATGAAGAAATTTTGAAAACTGAGTTTTTTTACATTAATTTTCATTAAAAAATGTACTTCTATAGATGATATGAGTGCTGATTAAAATGGAGTTTGAATTGATAAAGCCACAAAATTTTCATGTTGACTACATTGAAAGGAATCCTTGCGGACTTGCATGATATTTGAAAAATTGCACAATTTAAAAATATATTTTTAATATCCGAAGGCAATTGGAAGATTAAATGAGTACAAATTTTCATATTTTTACACAATTTTTCCTAAAAAATAAATTTCCCTCCACAAATCAGAGCATAAGTTCTTTTTTAGCAACCGTTGGTATTCCCTCATTCCAACAAAACATTTAAAGCCTCATTTAAAATTGAAATATAATTTAAGACGTGCAAATGAGATATGAGGAGCAAATTAGGAAAAAAAGAAGAAGCAAAAAACGTTGTTTAAACCATTTTTTTAATATTGATGAAGATTAATTATTCTTATATAGATTTAATATTAACAAGTTACATAATTAAATGTTAAATCTATATAGATTTAAGTATATAAAAGTTTACACTTCTTGATTTTAAATTCTAATTTTACCCCTATATATTATATCAGACTAATGGCTAATTCGTAATTTATCTGGTCTATTGTCAAAAATTGTCAATAAATCATCACAGGAAATAGCAATATTTATAACACCTCACCTTAAAAATGATGTGCAAAACTTGCACGTAATAGGTCAACAGGAGTACACCAGTCAAAATTATAGTTTAGCTGAGCTGAAAGTCTATACCCATCATTGTAAACCTGTAAACTTTTCTATTTGCTGACCTGATTAATGTTGCTTGAGCGATTCATGAAAAAATTAGTAAGATTAACAATGAAGAACAAACTTGTTTTAACTAAATTCCTTTGACTAACTTGTTTTAACCAAATTAGTTAAATAAGAGCATAAGTCCCGGCACGATGTGCCGGTTAATTATCATAAATTAACATTTGTAAATTTAATTTTAAAGTGTGCCATAATCATGAAATTTAATATTGCATGATACATGATAATTTCAACTCATAAATAGCATTATGAATATTATACTATCACTAACATGCATATATAATTATGTAAGAAATCATAATAGTATTTATACATGTTGGTCTAATATAGTTAGGTTAAAATATTTGTTATCAGTTGATTATTTTTTCAATTAAATGAAATTGAAAATCCATGCATGTACATTTATGCTTGTGTTGAATTAGTACAAAATATAATACAAATTACATAACATGTAGCACGTATAAAGATTTTTTTTTTAAAAAAAAAAATTGTAGGAATATAGTTAAGGAAGATTAAAAAAAAATCCCATGCAGTAACAATTATGCTTGTGTTGAATTAGTACAAAATATAATACAAATTACATAACATGTAGCACGTATAAAGATTTTTTTTAAAAAAAAAAAATTGTTAGGAATATAGTTAAGTATAGTTAAGGAAGATTAAAAAAAAAAAAAAAAAGCTTGCGTGAGCAAACAGTGTTGTTATATTTATTATTCTGTGAAAAAAAAAATAGATATAGTCAATATGAAAAGAAAATTATTTGAGAATTTCAAAGTGAAATTCTTATTATTATTATTATTATTATTATTATTATTATTATTATTATTATTATTCAACAAAGTAAACAAATTTACCACTAAAATTTTGAACCTGTAGTAATAGAGTAATAATATATAAATGAAAAATAAATTGATAGAATAAATTTATAAGATTATCACTTATTAATAATAATAGTGATAAGTGGCAATAGTGGTAAGTACGTTTTTTTTTTTTAGAAAATTATATAATAGGCACATTTTAACAAAAAAAAAAAAAAGAAAAAAAAAATGGAATGAAGAATGTATTATAGCCAGGTTGAAAAAGTTTTGGGCTAATTGGCCCATTGTAGAAAAAAAAAAAAAAAAAAAAAAAAAGAAAAAACAGTTTTATTAAGAGTTGTTATTATTAAAGGCAAAAAGAGAAAAGAGTTGAATGATAAATATACTGTTATAGCAATGGTGAACCATTCGCGCCCTTTAGATATATAATAATAATAATAATAATAATAATAATAATAATAATAATAATAATATAGCTCTTCAAGATTTCAATATGCTCTCATATTTAGTATAAACTAACTTATATAAACACCTTAACAGGTTTAATATACTTGTGTTGTAACCGTGTCGAACATTGATACTTCTTGAGTACTTTTAAACACAGTACTTTAAACACATCGAACACTTTGAATTATATATCCTATTATTTATTTTATTTTATTAATTTCAAACACTTTTAAAGATACATATGAGATACTCTGAAAACACTTATTGGACACTATATATAGATTTAGACATTTAATAAACATATAATATATTAAAATTATTATCTGAAATATATAATATAAAGATATATAAAAAAACCCAAAAATAAAAGATACTTTAAAAAGAATTGTAAACAAAACTCAATTTTATGTAAGTGCGACGAATTTTGTTAATATATAAGCGTGTGATGTGATGAAATATAAATCATTAATAAAAACTTTAAAATTATTATCTTAAATATATATATTTATAATTATTAATACTTAAAAAACAAAATTAAAAGATACTTAAAAAGAATGAAAAACTCAATTTATAGTAATTCACAATTTGTAATTTATTATATATCTATTATTATCAAATTTAACAACTAATTCACAGTGTAACTTTGAACTGATAATTCACAAGACTTCTATAAAAAAAGAATCAACAATATTATATTAGATTAATTTAATCTCTTAAAGATGTTAGAATTCTTAAAAGTTCATTTATTTGTAAATAAGCTAGAGATATTGTGATTTCCAATGGTGATGCGAGAATGTAAATAATTATAATGAAACAAAAAATAAAGTATTTTTTTATTTCATATTTATTATTATAAATGATTGTTTGCTTATTTAAATTATTTAAATAAATTATACTTATTTAATCAGCATGTGTTGGTGCCCTACTCATTTAAAAATTATCATGTCTGGTGTACGTGACTGTGCAAAGTTGAGTGTAAATAAGAATATTTGTTCCACTTCTTGAATATTCAATTTTAGCAAGGAGTCAATAATAGAAAAACTAACAATTGGACCTTCTAATGTAATAGAATTATAATGCAAGGAGTCAACAACAAATAGTGTAATTTTGAAAATCAAGGTCCTTACTAGTATAATTAATCAAAACATAGGGACTATAGAGTAATTACAATTATTTATTTTTGTAAGTAAATTTTATACATCTAAGTTCATTTATTACCAAAAAAAGAAATGCAAAAAATGCATCCACCATTACCATTTCACTAAAGAAACATGGCAAAAGCATTTATTCCTCAACAACTCACACCATTAAAATTTCGTCCCATATCCAAAACCTGGATTCCTCTTAACATGTACTCAATCAAAAACTACCATAAGCTAAAATATGAAACGTTTCTAATCACTGCAGAAAGTTGAGCACTTACCACTAAAAATTCAATAATTTTGACATAATCAATAAATAATTTGCCTGTCCAATTAAAAGCAGAGACAATTTTAGATTTACTCCAGCGGTCAAGTCCATAAAAACCCTCTCAAAATACCTATAGCGGTCCAGTTCTCAGTGCATAGTCTAAATCAGCGATCAGATCATTCACATCCTCTATCCCCACAGATATGCGAATTAGATCTTCAGTTAGACCTCTAGCTTCACGTACTGCTGCTGGTATACTTGCATGCGACATAAAGCAAGGCATGCTTATAAGAGACTTGACACTCCCTGCACATACACAATCACACGGTTAAGAAAGCAGCTTCAACCAAACTGACTAATCAATATCTGGTCTCAAATATCCAACAATTATGCAACAGGATCCCTAAGTATCCAATATGCCATAAAAACTACTTATAACATTGTTTAAAATACTTTTTCATATTTATTGTAAATAAATATGCAATAACAAATGTTTATCATACGTAAAAAGTACTTCATTTGTTGGTGATTTGAAATTTCAAATTAAATGTTAGGCATAATTATCACATCAATATATAAAAACAGTATAACGTACAATCATGGATTTAGTTTATCAAAATAACTGTTCAATGAAACCAAACCTTTTATTGTTTGGTTATCAAAATTAAATTTAAACATGTATTTCGGAAACGTCATTTTTAATTGCACATCAACATATTATTTTAAATATTTTTATTAATTCTTTTATATAATTTTGCATATAAAAGATCAGGAGAAGTCCTAATCAGATAAGAAATTAATCAAAGATAGACAGAAAACAGGGCAAATAAATTCCTACTTGGCTTCAAAGGAACTATTAGAAAAGAAAATATTTATTAGAAAAGAGATGCAGAGGAATAAGCAGCTGTGCACAAATTCACCCTTCTTCTGATTGTACAAAGACAACATAACACTACTCATATAAGAAAATTCACCTGCAAATGAGGGTTAAGTTGGTTCTTACCATTAGCTCAAGGCAAGTACTTCCATGTTACGTCCAATAATTATTCACAATAAACATTACAGAAACATACTATGATTCATCCCCAAAAGGTAAATATTCAAAATAATTTAGTGCCAGTGAGAAAATATTATACTATGGGTTAAGAGCAACTTAGTAATCTAAACTACTAAAAGTCATATTTTGCGTGTCCATGTTTGGCGTCTTGAAGAGGATAATAGAACTCTCTTTTCATTTAGTCTTTACAGTATCTTTTAATAATTATTATAATTTTATAATTTTTATATTTCCGGTAACTGGTTAATAATAATTAGTTGATTGTTATTATTGCCATCGGTCAAAAGAAAACAAACCATTTCTATTGTGAGAACCAATATAAGAATCTCATGAATTTCATTTACCCTCTGTACGTGCACACACGCACATGTATAATGTATGCAATGGTGCAACTATATGCACTCTATTAGTGGAAGATTCAAATTATGTCTCTCTCTCTCTCTCTCTCTCTCTCTCTCTCTCATGCATATATCTTAGGGGTCTCATTACCATCACTTCAGCACAAAATTTCTTGAGTCATGCGTAAGCATCAAGTAAAAAGAATAATTACCAAAACTGACAGTTATACTGAAGTACTTGGTAGTCTCAACAATGTGCTTTGATAGTGCGAGTGATCCTGTTAAAAAGCTAAGCACAGAACCTGCACCCTTTGCCTACAAGAGAGAAACGAAGAGGTTTTTTTTTTTTTTGTTTTAATCTAAGTAGTGAAATTATGGTATTCATCTCAACAATTCTAATGGCAGCACCTGAGAATAGTGCAAATCCCGTCCAGGATGACCAGGAAGACCAGCATAGTTAACTTTCTTCACTTGTGGATGTGCTGCGAGAAACTCAGCAATCTTCTGTGCATTGTCCTGCCAAAGACACAATAAAATTTCAAATTTGGAATCTATATCAAATAACTCCCAGGAACTGCAAAAAAAAAAAAGGACCTAATGACCAAAAAGTCCGAAACTATAAGAACATAAAACCAGAACAAGTACAATTTCATAGTGATGGGGACAGGTTACATTTGATCATTAGGCAAGTAACAGAAACTATATAAAAAGATTTGGCCTACTCTTATCATTGACCTTTAAGTCATCAAGGATCACATAAAGATGAAATGCGTGACAAATACAAGCAGCAATCTATCAAAAATATAATTAGATGTAAGAAATAAAAAGAACATAAAATTGTCCGCTTTGGCTGGGTTAGAATTAGCACCTGTTGTTTCTCAACACGTAAGGCCATTGTCTTAATACCTCTTAAACAAATCCAGCAGTCAAATGGTGCTAACCCAGAGCCTTCTGCATTTTGCAGGAAATACAAATCTCTTGCCAAGCTAGAAAATATAGAGAAAAACCCGCCCATGCCAAGGCTGAGACTTTAGAAGGAAACACATATATTCATAATAAAGCAACATATTCAATAAGTAATCAATTCAATTAGCTAGGCACAGGTAAAAAAGATAACAATCAAAAGCAAATACCCTGGAGAACAAGTGTTCTTATTCTCACAGGTGCTTGTAAGCATGTTTCCATGTGTAACGACTCCCAGAACAAAACTAAAAATGTGACAGTAACAACCTCATCAACATGAACTGCTAATCACTAAAAAACTAAGAACTAAATTTAAATAAAGTTCAAGATGATAAATATTAGTGGAAAATGCTAAAACACAGGCATTGAGTTAACGGAAAGACAAGTAAAATAGGCAACAATAGTGTCTTAAGCAAATTAGAAGATCTTAATTATATACTTTCAAGACCAATATGCATTATACCACAATTATATCTTTAATGTTACCTATTGCAAAACAAAATGCCATAGTACTCAATAGACAGGATTAGCTAAAAACTGGACAATTATGAAGAGAACTGGAAAAAATCTATTATATTTCTGTACAAATACATGAACTAGAAGTTACAACCTTTGCCCTTTTACTGCGAGCACGCCAGCCATAACATCACTATGTCCAGCTATGAATTTTGTAGCTGAGTGCATCACTATGTCTGCAACAAGCATAATCAATCAAATAACAGCACTACAAAAGTACTGTTGCAGTTCCTAAAACTGAAGCATGATAATAGCATATTGTCCGTACCGGCCCCAAGTTCCAATGGTTGAGACAATACAGGTGACATAATACTGTTATCCACCAAGACAAGAGCACTGTGAGTGTGAGCCATCTTTGCAATTGCCTGAAAAAAAAATTGACAAACAGATAAGCAAACAATTAAATAAAATGAAAACAATGAAAAGGAACAGTAGTTATAAATTATTTACTATTGTCACAAGTCTGCATTATTCTTCTAGACATATGCATGGAGTAGTAAACTTTTAATAGGATAAAAAATAATCCATTAAAAGTTATAACATGGAGCAAAAAAAAAACCGCAATATATTATATTACTAAATCAATCTTAAAATCATAATATTCCTAAAGTAAAGCCAAAAACCCCATGCCCCTGCATCCCTTTCCATTACTTGGAAATTCATTTAACATTTTTCTGAACATCTCTTCCTTCCAATCTCTTCTCAAATTTCTGGACTTTGGGTACAAATCTTTCTTCCATTCTGGCTGTTTGAAGCAGTATCTCTACTTTTTTGCCAATGCCAAGAATCAAATGGAGACTTTGTTGCTGAATTCTGCCCCATGGCCTTCATCTTCATCTGGGCTTCCAACTTTATATAACTAAAATATTCAAATAAAGGATGACAAATGCTCATGTACAAGAAACAAGGTTTTGGGGATAGCAGTGGTCACTTAGGTTCTTGGTTGTGGAAGGCATTTGATAGAAGCAAAAAATTCCCTGCAGCCAAGATTTAAATAGACTTTACCAAAACAAGAGCTTCAACAAGATGAAAATGGACTTTACTTAATAGACTGATAGCAAATTTCCACCAGTTGCAAAGATGAATTCTATTAGAATTCTCTAATGTTGTTAATTTTGGTTGGGTTTGCAGCACTTTGAAGTAAAAAATGTGTTCCTAAATGGTGAGTTTGAAGAAGTCTATATGGAAATCCCACCGAAGTTCACTGACTGAATGAAAGGTTTGTCATTTGAAGAAAGCTTTATATGCCTTAAAACAGCCACCTAGAGATTGGTTTGACAGGTTTAGTAAAGCAATGATATCTTTAGGGTATCAACAAAGGAATGTAGATCATACTACGTTCATCAAAAATCACCAAGGTAAGATCATTATTCTCATTGTGTAAAGTATGTTAATATATGGTTGTACCAGGAGACAATCAAGAAGAGATGACTAGATTAAAGAAGTATCTGGCTACTGAATATGAAATTAAAGACATGAGAAAATTGTGATACTTCCTTTGAAATAGAGGTTGCTAGATAATTTTTTTTAAAAAAAAAAAGGTATTTCACATTGTCTATCACACACTCATTATTGTAGCAAATTTATGAGTGATTTGTTCGATTCTTTGATATGAACATTTGTTCAATCTTTTGTATGCAAGATGGGTATGAGAGATACACGTACACATCTTGAGAGGGAGCTGTGTATAAGTAGGGGTGGCCACAGTTCTGGAACCGCCAGTTTCGGTTCCGGAACCGAACCGAAAATTGACGGTTCCGGTTATGGTTTGAAACCGAACAGTCACGGTTCCGTTTCCAATTCCGTTAAGGAACCGAACCGAAATTGACGGTACCAGCCGATTCTCCGATTGATTTTCCAGCAAATCACATAACTATAAAATAAAAATTTAGGGAACATTTTTTTGTTGAAAATTTAAAATTTAAATATTTATGAAATAATTTTTAGAAAAACTTAAAGAAAAAAATTTAGCGGAACATTTTTTTGTTAAAATTTAAAATCTTAAAATATATTATGAAATAATTTTTTAGAAAAACTTAAAGAAAAATTAAAAAAAAAAAGGCTTAACTTAATTCATTTGTTTAAAAAAAAAACCTTGAACTTATTTTTTTTTTTTTTAGAAGAAAGGCCTTTTTTTTTTTTTTTTAGAAGAAAGGCTTGAACTTAAATTTTTTTTTTTTTTAGAAAAAGCTTGTACTTCATTTTTTTTAAAATGAAAAGGGATATTTATAGTAAATCCAAAAAATCAATTTTTCACAAATACCTTTAAAACTAGCCGTTATATAATTATTAGGAGGGTTAATTTGGAGATTTCACAAAAATATTTGAAAAAATTAAAAAAAAAAAGTTATTGGAACCACTGGTTCTAACCGGTTGGAAAAACCATTGGTTCCAGCCAGTTCTTGGAACCGCCGATTTACAGTGCCTCAAAAGTTGGAACTGGAACCAGACCGCAGATCCCCAGCTCCGGTTCTGGTTCAGACCGGTTCCGGTTCCTCACGGTTCCAGTTCCGAACCGGCAGTTCCGGTTCCAAAAACCATGAAATGGCCACCCCTATGTATAAGCTTAGTTTAGGAGAAAATTGCGTTTTGTTAGGTCTGAAGTCTGAACCTGTTAGGGGTATTTTTGTGCATCACAAGTGTTGTAAATATAGGTTTACTGGTGAAGGAAAGTAATGAGAACCTACAGCCCTCTCTCTGTATTTCTATTTCTCTAAAACATCACCATTTCTCAAACATGTAGTTTATTATTCTCTGGGAAAGCTTTCAGTTAATGCTTAACAGATTCTGTCTTCAGTCTTCCTCTTTTTTTTTTTTTTTTTTTTTGTCAATGAGGCCCAAATCGAATTAGTCAAAACGGATCAAACTGATTTCAATCAGTTCAGCTTCAGTTTCATTTTTTTTTTTTTTTTTTGTCAATGAGGCCCAAATCGAATAGTCAAACTGATCAAACTGATTTCAATCAGTTCAGTTCAGTTTCATTTATTCCTTAGTTCGATTCCTTTTCAAAGTCTAATAAATTCAGTAAAAATCTGTTTTTGTTATTGTTCCAATCTCCAATAAAACCAATGCACGCCTATAAAAATATTTGTTGACAAACAAATTTCATAACTAAGAGAAAGCATGAACTCTTACACGAATATCAGAAATCTGTAGACGAGGATTGGTTGGGCTCTCTAGCCAAACAAGCTTTGTCGAAGGGCCAATTGCAGATGCAACCTCATCTAGATTGCAAGTATTTACCCGTCTTCATATTGTTGAGCAAAAAAATTCAGAATTTAATTGCAGTAAAATAATATGAAAAGAACGAGAAAAACAAAACCATACTGACTTAACTACAATTCCAGATTTTGGGGCTACTTGGGACAACAACCGATCGGAACCACCATACAGGTCATCTCCAGCAACAATTTCCCCACCTGAGATGAAAATTGTACCAGTTACAAGAAATTACTAAGGGATCAATGTTTACTATGAATGGGAGCAGAAAGCATTATGAAGCCATTTATCAAATATACATATGCATTATGTGCATGTACATGTCAGAGTCATTATGTATTAACACCTTAGAGTTCTCTCTCTCTCTCTCTCTCTCTCTCTCTCTCTCTTGCAATTCAGATTAAACACACTTTCATAAAGATACTACTATATAAAAGAGATATTAAATGCAAACAAATCTTCAATAGTGTCAAATTCTAACTCTTCTAAATATCATTGCGTCTGCAGATCCTGGTCGTGTCAAAGTGGTATCCTGCATCCATAAACAGACTTCAGCACTTATGATTTCATTCAAGAATATACTGATAAACCAATAATGTTAATACTGTCACACGGCTGAGGGTATATACAGATTGATCTCAGGTTTATATTCATGTTCAAGATTGCTATTGTACCTATGCTTTGAACCACAAAAGCAAAATGCAGAAGCTAACTAGATTTAAAAGATACATATAAGCGTGTGAGGGTGCACCAATTAGACAAACAAAAGAGAGTGAAAAGTACCAGTTCCAACTATATGAGTGACAGCAGCCAAAGCAGCCATTCCACTTGTGAAGCAAAATGCTCGATCTGCTTTGTCCAGCTTTGCCAAGAGGCTAATAGAAGAGAAAACAAATTAAGCTTCCCAAAAGAAAAAAAAATAAAAGAACAAATAGATCCATATAAAGATATGGAAACTGCTTTACAAGCATTAAATGTGCAAAAAGGCAAATCACACCTTTCTAAAGCATCCCTAGTGGGATTTCCACTTCTGGTGTAATCATACGGACCGTTTTCTACTGCTGATGGCTAAAATACAGAGTACAAAAGACAAACTCAGCTAAAAACCCAGAATGGAAGTATCATGCTGTGCATGTGTAATGCCTTATGAGGACAACAGAGAATAGATATAGCAATCATTATGCTACTATTTAGACAGGAAAGAAGTGATTATAGTCATAGATACACAGCTTCACAGAAGAAAAATAAAGTCAAAAAAGTACACCACATCCATGTTTACAAGAACTTCGCAAAACTTCTAAAAAAGGTTTCCTCTTCTTCGTTTTAAGGCAGCATTATCCCAACTATAAATTTCAAATGGATCTACGTCCACGCAACATAAGAAGAAACTGATACACAAGTCCAATATCCTCAAATTAGCCTCATATTTTGTCACATTTTTCAAACTCTTAATGTCAAATGAATAGGTTATACAATCAAATTTAACTTAAGTACTCAATAACTGAAACAAACATCAATCCAAATAATTCAATTGTCTGAAATTCAAGCAGTCTACATCGTAGGGAACTACCCTAACAAAGCCAATACTCATGTTTGCAATAACAAAAACTACATATGCATTTACATAATAGTCCAAATTCAAGCAGCCTACATTGTTAATCAGCATGAAGTAGTAGAAGATTTGACACACTCTATAAATTATACTGAGGGTAAGAAATCTCAGTATAAGGGCATCATATGGTCAAGAAATGGAAATTAATTCTGTTCCATTAATAACAAAGTCATGTATAAACCTAAATACCTCTTTTGATCTTATAGAAGGCTTCTTTAATCAATTTAATTATTAGAAAAAGAGGGGGAAAAAAAAAAGGAGTCCAATCTGAAAAGAAGCAAAGATGACAGTGATGGAACAACACCACCTCAGAGAATTTGATATCATCTTTCCGGATTTATCAGAGTGTGCAAATATTTTTGTGTGTGTGCAAGTCTATTCAACAAAAGTAAATGCCAATTAAACTCCTTTTATTTTTCTTTTTTAATTTAATAAGTTTGCATGTTCACGCATTAAGAGCTACAATCATAAATATGGAAAGATATTATAGTACCAAGATATTGCTCCCCAGATCCTTTCTTCAAAAAAAAAAAAAAATTAATATTGCAATGGTAGAAAAAATAATATAACATGAGTAAATTAGGAAAGCTAAATCAAATATATGTAACATGTATTGTTGCCCTGAAAGGAAGCAATGACATACATAGAGAAGATACGTAATGATTACCAAAAAGTGACAATATCAACAGCTTAACCAAATTGTCATCTTAATTTTTTGTGAACAAATATCAATCTCCTTCCATCAAAGAGACAATAGATTAATAGACTTACTTCAACCTAGTCCTCTATAAAGAAACTGACCATTTCCAAATCAAAGCTATTGCCTAAGTGAGTGGCATAGAGTAAAATCATACCCCATCGTGCCCCACAGCAACCATCAACCATCAAAAAAAATCATTTCTATCATATTTTCACCAGCAACATAACCGTGCAATTATCGTTGTTAGCAAGCCGTTTTGGGGCTCATAAACTGTAAAAAAATTTCATCAGTATTACCTGCTTAAAAGTAGCTGTTTGGTAAAGTGGTGTACTCATTGCACCGTAAGGATCAAACTTATTCTCAAAGTTCATCAACATTGTCGAAATGCTAGGCTCCCTAATATCCATTTCTGCAAAATAAGAATGATGATATTAACAGTTATAAGCACCAAATGATACAATAGATTAGAATATCAACACAAATATAAAATAGGAAACCAACACAATCATACAAACCATTTGAGCACTCTGTTGCACCATCAACCAAAGTGGAAGTCATCACATCCATTTCTTTGTTTGTTGAGCAATTCAACTCAAATTTTTTTCCTAAAATTAAACAAGTCCCTTTACATTCCTTTCTCACCCATAAACTTTTTGGAGATATCCCATGTGTTGATGCCTATACATACACCAAATTTTAGAAAAATAAGTTGGATAAAAACAGCTAAAAGAAGATAAGCACAAACATAATATATGTGACATGCTATTTTAACTCTTCCCAAAATTTTGAAGTTAGTTTAACCAAGCAAACTCAAGATAACAGCTACTTTCATCTCTTTCTTCTCTATGGTTTCAAACTATTTAAAACTAATACTCCTTTTGTTTCAATTATGAATAATTACTTGCATGAAGCATATGAGTTGTAAAAGTAAATTTCCATTATTCACAATCATAAATGGCCAGCACAATCATATTGAATCACAGAAAGCATTTATTTTTTCTTCCCTCAAAAGGAACAATAGCAACAGAGCCAGGGTCGCCAAATCCACTCATCATACCTTGGAACCGCGTATTGGGTCGTGCGTCCCAGAACACGGTACGCCGGCGCTCCGAAATGTGTTTGTACGCGTTCCTGTTTGATGAAAGAAGGGTTCCATAATCTTGATGTCTTCCATGGTAACAAAGGTAAAGAAAAAAAAAATCAAGGAAGAGAATAAGAAGGCATATCTATATTAGAGCGAAACCCAAAAAGAAGAAGAAACTAAGAGCTACCAATTCTAGATCTACTTCAATATTTGGTTTGGGGTAAGTAGAATAGTAAAGTGTGACTTCAAGAAAGTGCATAAAGTGCTTGTGACTGATTTACATTATCAATTCCACTTCCCGATAAGTAGATCATCAAACTTTCCTTACACAAGGGAAGTAAGTTCGTCAAGGATAGCTAGGAAATTGCACCACTAGTTAAATGCCATGAATTTACCAATTTATCTTATTATCTATATACACATAAATTTATGTATATTTTTGTATCATTATATATATGCTAAGTTAGTATCTCATAGGAAATACATATTTTATGTAGAACATTAAAATTATAAAATATCATTACTCAAATTATGAAATATCATTAGCAATTAGGAGTAGGACTATAAATGAATTGAGTTGAGCCAAGCTCTGTGTTGTTCAGGTTTGGTTCACGAAATTTTGATGCAAACTCGAATTCAGCTCGAGCTCGATCCGAGCTTTTATATTGAACCTCGAGCTTGGCTTGTTTGGTAGCTTGAGTTCAAGCTCAAATTTAGGCTCGGTAAAAGCTCGAGTTCGAGATCGAAATAGGCTCGTTAAGATCTCGAGTTCGAGTTCGATAAAAGCTAAGTTTGAGCTTGATAATTCTAATCAATAATTTCAGTCTCTATTTTCAAATGCTCACTAATACAATAATTTTAAACAAAACATAAATAGTTTCAAGCTTAAAAAAACCATAAATCTGTGCCAAATTCCAAATAACATATCGCAACAATTCATTCAAATAAAAACAATTACTTGTTCAATTTGCAAATAGAGTATTGGTCAAAATCTCATCCATGTAATGCAGGCATTGGTCCCATGCCGTATTAGAAGATTCAAATAATTTTTTTTTCTTCAAAAATTTAGCATGAGTAGTTATATTCAATTATATATTCAATAATTTTTTTTTCCTTCAAAAAATTTAGCATGAGTAGTTATATTCAATTTATATATATATATATATATATATATATATATATATATATTATTATATAAATATATATATCGGAAAAAACATGCATCCCCCTCCATAAAATTTCATTATATGCATAAATATACAAAGGCATTTATCACCCTCCGAAAAAATACAAATGTATAAATTTTGCTTTAGAGAGAGAAATGCAAAATAAAAATTAATTAGAACGAGATAGCTAGCGTGAAATTAAAAAAAAAATTAAACTTACATGCAAACAATTGCAGAGATTGATAAGACTTTTTGCAGGCGTCTGTTCCCTTCTCTTCTGCTCTCCAATAAGCGCAAGCAATTTCGAAGGGTTAGGGTTTTCTCTGTAAGAAAGAGAAAAATTTGAAGAGTGAGTGAGAGAGAGTGAAGCAAGGGGCTAAATTATATGATACACACTGAACTTTGCCAGTTGTATGGATTGTACCCAAAATGAACCGCACCCTCAGCACCCAATTTCAATTTTTTTTTTTTTTTTTTTTTTTTTTTTTTTTGTTTAAAAATTGCACCTTAGTTTCAATTTTTTTTTTTTTTTTTTTTTTTTTGTTAAAATTGCACCTTAGTTTCAAATTAGCCAAATTACATGATAAAAAAAATAATATCTACAACTGCAGCTTGGTTAGCTAAACCAAGGAAATGGTGAGAAAAAAAAAAAAAACAGTGAAAAAAAGTTAACGAACAAAGAAGAAGGAAAAAAAAAAATGAGACTGAACTCTGCAAATCAATACATGTAAAATGTTCATGAGTGTACTATGAAATTAAACAATAAATGAAAAAAGAAAAAGCAAAAATGTATGATATAAAAGAAGAAGAGATATAACAATAAAAAGCCCGAAACTAGCAGCAGCAATAGCCCTGATTATGGTATCCATCCCATCACTATACATTCAACTTTCTCTCTGCAAACCTACTCTCTTCTCTGCCATTTCTTATTTTTCAGACTCAAATATTCCATAAAGATTTCGAATAAATATGGAGAATTTCTGCTCTTACCTTTCTGTCCTTGTTATTTGCTTTTCTTTCCTTGATCAATAATGCTAAAGATGCCTATCTAGAGAAACTTCTTTTGCTGGCTGACAATGAAGAATCAATTTCGAAAACCCTAAATTTCGAAACAAAAAGGTAAGAGATGAGAGAGATTTATCCTTCAAAGTTTATGATGATAGAGAGAAAGAAGTAAGTAGGCTGACTGCTGAGCATTAGGTACATTCGAACCGGAACCGACTGACTTGGATTGATTCAGTGTGACCGAATAAGTTTTATAAATTTAATTTTTAAAATAATTGTATATAATATGAAGCATTTAAAAATTTTTATATTTTTATTTTTTAAATATTTCATTGTAGAGCATATGTTTACGATTTCTAGATACAATAAGCATGGGGAAAAGCAGATTCAAGAATATTAACATTGTTATCTGTTTTTAGTGGTCAGCGTTTTCAGAGAATTTATATGATATTCATAATAAAATGAATCTTGAAACAATGGTTTTTGTATATTTTCAGAGATTGTTTTCTGTTTAATTTTAAATAATATACGAAGAAAAGTCTGAATATTTCTCTCTGTTTGGCTTTGTGTTTTGCAGGAGAGTATGGTGTTGAAAATTCTCTCTCCTTTTATGTCACGATCCATTTCCATGGGCCGGACCGGCACTGAGGCCCAGGCAAACTTAAGACCTCCGAGGCCCGTAGTAAGCCTAAATTATTCAATCTATCTATATATCTCTCCCAATTTCATAAGAACCGTAAGCTCATATGACTTAAGAATAAGTTTATAGAAATATTCAACCATCTGGCCCAATCTCAAGTAATACATAAAATTTAACCAGGGCCTATTCACGATAAATCATATTCGCAATATGGGCTTATTGATTCACCTGCAGTTAATTACACGATAATTAATTTATAGCGAAGTGCAAACGGTAAGGCCCAATTTAAATACACAACCCTATAACTGCGGAATTCAACAATAATTTGAAAGTGGAGTAATTTATACAATCCAATTTAAATAACAAAATTACGAATTTTACATTTGTCACTCTGCGGAAAAGATTGCAGAGTTTTAATCGAATTAGCAACTTTCTACTACCTGGGAGATTGGGTGGAAGGGGGGGTGAGTTTTGCAACTCAATGAATAATAATAAATAATACACACCACATACAGTCAAGCAAAATGCACCCTAGTATACAGAATGAACACGCAACAGTCTATCATATGGCATCATATTAGCACCCACAATTAATATCACCTTTAGATAATCACATCACGTGGAAATTAGTCAGTGGAGTCATCGAAACCCGATGAGACGTCCTCCCACATAGCCCATCCACTCACATGTACACCAGGGAGCCAATCCCCCATACTGGCTGACCGGTATAACCTCACACGACCAGTCCTTAGATTTTTTTTTTTAGTCTCTCTTTTTATATATATATAGATATATATATACCAACAAGAGGAAACTCGGTCGTCTCCGTCAAATCTAGATCATCAGGCGCTCACAATAGGAGTCCACTCTGCGGGCTGTGATCAAATCTATATTATCAGGTGCGCCCAATAAAGAGGCCAACCTGTGGTTTCAGAATAGTCAGAATTATCAGGTGCACACGGGAGCGCCGATCTCCCATTTATACGGCTAACAGAAATCAGAATCATGATCCATATAGCAGTAACAGAATATAACAAAAATCAGAATCATGATCCATATAACAGAATTAGCCTCACAGACCCATGGTGACCCACTTCATCCCAATTCGACACAAACAGAGCACAGTATTTGCACAGCACAAGTAATCAGACAATGTATTCAACGTAATACATCGATTCCATCCAATTGAACAATCATACAAATATATTTATATATGAATTAGAATACATTTATAAACGGTTTTCATAAATGTTATGCAAATGTGATGCTGATATGCATTATTTATTATTACTCACAGTGGTGCAGAACGAAGGTATAGCTTTGATTCTGTCCGGAAGGAGCACTAGACGGACCCGAGCGATCTAAGAAATTTAAGAATGACACCGAAAAATAATTATATCAGACAAAATATTTATTTAGCGATCTAAGAAATTTTAGGAATGACACCGTAAGAAATTTAAGAATGACACCGAAAAATAATTATATCAGACAAAATATTTATTTATCACTCTAATAATCTTATTCTATATTTTTAATTTCGATAAATAATTTAATCTCTATAAGTAATTTAAATTCTATAATTAATTTTATTTTCTACCGATATTTCGGTAGCACTTCCCCTAAAATTTAATTATCCACAAATCAACTCATTCAATTATTTTTTTCAGGTTCCCATAGTCCATCCATCGGCAAGCAATTAATCCAGTCAATTATTCCCATCCTCCATATTCTCCATATCAACATTAATTTATAAATTTTTTCTTTGATACCATAAATCATAATTTCCTAATAATTTTATTCATCACTAGCATTTACTTTTAATTAATCAAGCAATTTTAATTGATAGATCAACACTAATTTAAATTACTTCAACTAGTCAGAATTGCTAAGATTAAATTAACTATCCGAGATTACTAAAATCAAATTAATTAACTAAAATTACTAAAATTAATTTATAACCCAAAATTTATTAGTTTTTGTCGCAGATTGCTAGATCGAGCTTTACGCGTGATGGATCGAAGTTACGCGCCGGATCGAAGTTACGCGCACTGGGACTGCAAGCAAATGGCCGGATCCGACTGGCAGTGGCAGAGAGAGACGGAGGCGGCGCTATGAAGCTTGACAGACCTGTTCCTGGTGGTCAGAGGCGCACTGGAGCAACGACAAGGCGGTGGCGCAACAGACCGAGGCGATGGTGCGATCTGGTGGAGGTTGCGGTGCGCGATCTGGCCGAGGATGAAGCAGAACCGCTGGCGGAGCTGCTGCGACGTCGAGCTGCAGCAAGGTGGTGCGCGAGGAGGTCCGGCCTAGCTGGTGTCACCGCTGCTGTTTCAAGTGTCGCCGCTGCTGTTTCAAGTGTCGCCAGTCACAGTGCAGAAACGGACTAAGACGCAAGCGCAGGAAAGAAAAGAAAAAGAAAGAAAAAGAACGAAAGGAGGAGGAGAAGGTGGTGGTGGCAGTGTCGGTGGTGCTGCGTGGGTGGTCGGGAGGCGCAAGACTGAGTGAGTGAGGGAGATGAGCGTTGAAGACAAAGGAGAGGAGATGTTTCTAGATGGTTTGGGCTGGAGGAGATGTTTCTAGAGGTGCTGCGTGGGTGGTCGGGAGGCGCAAGACTGAGTGAGTGAGGGAGATGAGCGTTGAAGACAAAGGAGAGGAGATGTTTCTAGATGGTTTGGGCTGGTTCAGTTCAATTTCGGTTCGATTCAGCCCAAATCTTGGTTTTTATTTTGATTTTCGAATTTTTAACTGGTTTTTCGATTCGGTTTATGTGCAAATTATTAATTTGCATTTAAATAATTAAATACATTTTTCGCTCTGTCAGTTTGTTAAATTTAAATGTAAAATCTTTGAAAATAAAAATTTATTTGATTTTATTTTTTGTTTTAAATTTTGAATTTCATTTTCTTTCTAATATTTTTATTATAATTTATCTTATAAATTCAACAATAATATTTAAAAATATCATAAATAAAGAAAAAATTTTAAATGTGTATGGTGTATGTTTATGCTGTTATAATCCCAAATAATCAACAATTTATAAGTAATTCTGATAATTTACCTAAAAATACCTCCAATACTTTTATCTTTCAAAATAACAATTTAATTTTCTGGAACAACATAATAATTATTATTTAAATAATCTATAAATATCTGCTCACGATACTAAAAAGAAGTATATATATCCAGTCGCTCAACTTATGAATAGTTTAAATATAATCTCCACGCTAGAAAATATAGATTCATCAATAGTTAGATTTAAATTAAGAGCCTCACATTCAACTTCCGAATATATAAAATAGGAAGAGTTTATAAGTAATAACAAAAGAGAGAGTCATTCCTATTATATATAGATTCATAAAATACGCCGAAGACAACTAAATTCCTTCCTAGAGGAAGGAAATTGAGTAGGAATTACAAATAAGAGCTTAGTGTCCATTTCTAGGAAAGATAATACAACAAAATAATACCAACACAAGCTGAAAATTATAAATGATATATTTGCTTTAATCTCCAAACCTCATAAGCAGAGAGAGTAAAGACCCTTTTAACAAACACCACTCATCTTTTTCCTGTCCATAACGAACTTCCTCCAAATTGTAGTAATCTCCCTTTGTGTCTCCAACTCACTCTTCTTCGTCGGGACTGCAGGAACAGTGTCACCGTTCTTTGCATTTATCCTGGATGGCAAGGTATCAAGTTCATGCAGAACTCTTTCTATGTCCTGTACAAGACGCTCAGCGAGTGTTCGCGAGAAGTCCTCTCTTATGACAACACGCAACACAGTTACATGTTCAGCATCAGCTGGCATTGTATATGCAGGCACAATCCAACCAAACCTCCTTAGCATTTCAGAAATTTCAAACTCGTTATGGTTGCTATTATCTTTTAAGGAAAACGCTACCAGTGGCACTCCCATGTCCTTTGAAACAACCTCGAAACGACCAATCTTCTCTAGTCCTTCCTTGAGAACCACCATGTTGTCTCTGCAATTTTCCATTATGTTTTTGTATCCCTGCAAGTACAGAACAATGTTCGCAAGATCTTTATTGTAGTTAGGTAGTATCATATTATATGATGCATGGAAACTCTTAGCCATAAGTTCATGTAAAATATCATTTTTCAATGTAAAATTATATTTTAAATGTCGTTTTTTCATATTATTTTCTACATTTCTTCGTTTCTGTTTTCATGCAACATTGGTCATTTATATAGATCATAATAGAACATATTCAACTCACCTCAAAACCCAAGCGAATGAGTTGATAGTATTGAGCAATAATTTGACTAGAACCTACAAGTGAAAGGACAAATTTTAGCTTTTAATCATAATATGTAGAAAGAAAGATAATGGAAGAGGATTAGTGAATCATCATATATATACCTTTGGAGAAATTGAGGGTAAAGGTAGGTTGATCAGCTCCAAGGTAATTGATATGAAAGATAAGTTCTTCAGGCAAGTCCTCTTTGCTCCTCCAAATTACCCAACCAACACCAGCATACACAAGTCCATACTTGTGACCACTAACATTGATACTCTTAACTAATGGTAGTCTAAAATCCCACTCAAGTTCTGGATACAAAAATGGTGCAATAAATCCACCACTTGCTGCATCCACATGAATTGGGGTATCCCATCTATCAAAAAGTAAAATATATATTAATGTTTTTTATACATAAATTGTAATACTAAAATGAATTAATCATAATTAAATTGGAGGGATATTAGGACAGTAGTTCAATGGTAATTGCATGTCTTGTACTATCGGATACCAGTTCAACATAGAAATCTTGATTTTGTTTTCATAAATTCCAGTGTACAAAAATAATAATAATTTCTCATTCCATTTAAGGATATACATGGGAAAGGAAGTCTCGGGTTTGAGTCTTCTCATCCATATGAGTTTTACTAATCTTGTGAGAATCATTAAAAAGAAAGAACTATCTCATGTTGTAATAAAAATAAGCAGCAGAGAGAGAGAATTACCCAGTTTGCTTGTTCTTCTCTGTCAAGAGATCATTCAAGAGCTTTACATCTTCAAATTCCCCATTAAGAGTGGAGCCAAGGATAGCAGCAACACAAATTGTGTTCTCATCAACTAAATCCACTGCTTTCTTTGGATCCATCACATAATACCCATCTCTAAGCTTCACTTCCTTCAACTCTACTTCAAAATACCTAGCAAATTTCTCCCAACAAACCTGAAATTATATGTTATATGAATTAGAATAATACTCCAATTCTCTGTTAATTACGATTAATGATCTAGCATGTCTTAAATTTGGCGTGCCTTTCAATGTAACTAATCTTATATCAAACAACTTGAAACTGTTAAATGTAAATTTTTTTTTTTTTTTTTTTTTTTTTTTGGCGTGCCTTTCAATGTAACTAATCTTATATTCAAACAACTTTGAAACGTTAAATTGTAAATTTTTTTTTTTTTTTTTTTTTACTTATTGATTAAGTGTTACCAAATTAACACCAAGCTCAGATTTTAAAAGGACGTAATTTTTTTTTTTTTTTTTTTTTACTTATTGATTAAGTGTTACCAAATTAACACCAACTCAGATTTTAAAAGGACGTGCTATGTGGAGTTAAAAAATATGCCCCGACTTTCTGTATTATAAAGTGGACACTAAAACAGAAATTTGAGGTAAGATTTACAGAATGCGTACCTGAACATTAGCACCAGTGACAATGTTAGGCTTATCGAAGGGCTTTCCTTCAGCTTTTCTCTTGTTCTGCCATTTCCTCTTGAATGCTAATCCAGCTAACATTATTGCCTCTGAAGACCCAACAGTTCCCACTCCAACCGCAGTCTCTGAATCTCCAAGTGGGGCGTTAAACAGATGTGCTATCATGTTAACACATCGGTTCTGTATGCATAAACAATTAAGTAGTTGATTAATCAATTCTTTAATTAAGCATTAGATTCTCAATTTCAAATAAAATCAACCATTAGTTATTTTTGGAATTTGATATGGTTATGTATTAAGTATGGAAATCAATGTAAATATTATAATTTTCCCAATTAACTTATAGTGTTATTATTTTACAATTATTTTGTAGGTTTTATTAATTTTAATTAGAATTTGATTCCCATGTAAATTATTTCAAAATATAAAGTTTTAAATAAAATTTGTGTGTACAATAAATTTGTGTTCATCAATGAATATCATAAAATTCATTAGTGTAATCTCACTTTTATGATGTTGTATATTAATAATTTCTCCAACAAGAAAAAATGAAATAATAATATCAATCAAATTTTAGGGACTTCATTGTAATTTATCCAAAATTTATCGTTCCCATACATAGTGTATTTAATCTGACCTTACAATAACCTTTTCTTTTCTAAAAATGATAGTTTATTTATTATTATTATTTACTATTATTAATTATTATTTCCGTTATTAAAAATTTGTCATATCTGAGAAAATATTATATTTCAAAATACTCGTCACATTTATGTTTTAAAAAGTAATAAATTTATTTTCACATTTACTCGTTATATATAATTAACAATTAATACTTCAATTCTTCAAAATTTTGATATTTAAATATACTAAATTAAAAGTAATATAGTTAATTTACTTAATTATTCTGATAAATATTTAAAAAAATATATTTAAAGAAAAATCAGCAAGGAGAGGCAAGGAAAAGACGGTAAGAAACGAGCTGAATATTCAAATAAATAATATTGAAAAGGTCAGCAACGATGGGCAAGGAAAAGACGCTAACATTCGAGAACAACATTCAAATAATAAATAATTAGTAGTCCTGGACATCACATCAGTGGACCACTCTAATTAATTAGTTATGGGCCCGTCTATTATTCTTGTTTTTTACAATACACTGTAGTGTACTGTAAGGGGCCAAACCTGAAAATAAGTTTTTATTTTAATTTTATAAAGTAATTACGAAACATAATAAGTTTTTGTTTTAATTTTTACTGAAAATAAAAATTATTTTAAAATAGTTTATAATCTTAAATTCGTACTTGGTACATTAAAAAATAAATACTAAAGTAATTATTTCTTTCTCACACAATTTAACAGAAAATCTAACAAATGGACATAATAATTGAACGAACTAACAATAAAAAGACAGTTAAATTATTTTTGAAAATACTGAATCTGATTTGTGTTGTTCACTAAAATAGATTATAAACACTAAATGGTCATATATCCAGAAATGATTGTTCAAATATTTTATGTTCTTGGATTCAAACTTTATTAAATCACAAGTGTTATCATAAATTTGGATAGCATAGAAAATTCTGCAATACAAGAAGACTGGTGGATAAGCCTTGAACGTCGGTTTAGCGGCAATAATGACGGGACGGGTAATAGAACCCAAGTATGGATTATTTATTTATTTATTTATTAAATTCCAAATTCTTTATAATTGACAAACCAAAAAATAATGACTGGACTATCACCGATGAACACATTGACCATCAGCAAAGTTTAAGTTTATGTCTTATGATTTCCGCGGCGCCAATTGCGCCAAATCTAGTCTCATGAACAATGAGCAATTGTTGAATGATTAAATTTAAACGCTAAAATAAATTAAGTGATAAAATTTTTTAAATTGCAAATTATTTTAAAAAGAAATGGAAAAGTGAGAGATATCCTATTTGAATCTTATCTAATATAAAAAATATCACTATTTTAATAAATTTTATTCAAAAGGAATATATATATATATATATATATATAACAAGCATTGTTTTTATAGAAAGTTGACATGCGGCATATCCATTTCTCATTTTAATTTGACATGTAGTATATTCCTCCAATTAAACTTCCACTTCGCATGATTTGATTTGATTATTTAATGTATTAATAAATTGATTTGGTTTGGTTCAAATTTATTTAGAATTAGTGTTTTTAGTTTGGTTTGATTTGATTTTTCAATGTATTAATGTATTGATTTGGTTTAGATTTATTTTGAGTTAGTATTTTTGAGTTTTCGGTTCCAATGTATTAATGCTATTTGATTTGGTTAGATTCTATTTTTAGAGTTGAGTATTTTTGATTTGGTTTTGATTTTATTATTTGATGCATAAGAATGTTCTGATTTTATTGACATCCTAGTATTTTTGGTTTTGGTTTTGATTTGTTATTTAATGTATTAATGGGCTTTAAGTAAATAATTATTTAATTTTTTTTTAAAAAATGATAAAATTTAATAATTATGAATATATTCAATTAATTTGTATTTAATGTATTGCTTTTTGTAACTACTTTATCACATTGCCAGCCGATCTCTATCTTTCCAATATGATTCATAATAAAAGAAATTACATTTTCAACAAATCATAAATCAGTTTGGTTTGATTTGATTTTTCAATGTATTAATGTATTGATTTGGTTTAGATTTATTTTGAGTTAGTATTTTTGATTTGGTTTGATTTTATTATTTGATGTATTAATGTATTATTTTGGTTTGATTTTATTTTGAATTAGTATTTTTGGTTTGGTTTGATTTGATTATTTAATGTATTAATGGCTTTAAGTAATAATTATTAATTTTTAAAAAATGATAAAATTTAATAATAATGAATTATTCAATTAATGTATTAATGTATTGCTTTGTAACTACTATCAAATGCCAGCCGATTCCTATCTTTAATATATCATAATAAAAGAAATTACATTCAAAAATCTATAAACTATATATATATATATATGTAAAGATATATATATATATATATGTAAAGATATATTGTTTCAATTTTTTACTTTATTTGTTTTAACTGTGCATAGCATGGGTATATATTGCTAGTAATTACTTATAGTATTAGACTTTTCATTAATTTAAAAAAAAAAAATTTATGAACTTATTATAGCGAATGTAAAACTTGGTACAAATAGAGATGAAGCTGAGATTTACAAAGAGGAGGCAAACTACTGTAAAAATTTGTTGAGAGAATACTATAAAAAATGGAGGGATAAAATAGTTAGTGTCTTAAAAATTCGCTTAGGCCAAGATTCAAATCTAAATATTGTTAAGGGAAATTTAAAAGAAAAAAAATAGGAGGGCTCCTCCTCTAAAGGGTAGCCTCGTCCTTAGGTACTATTATAAATTAATAAATCAGTATATTTAAAATGAATTTTATAATTGATTCAAATTATTAAATTTTATTAATTCCTTTTAATAAAATTTATTTGTAAATGAAATGAATTTAAAAATTTGGACAAAAACAAAAAATATTTTGTAGTAACCAAAGTTTTGGTATTTTCACGCTCAAAATATCCAAAATGTTATCTATTTGCAAGTGGAGGTGGTCCATGTTCTTCACTGATTTCCCAATTGAGCATGTGGTATTTCTTTCTCTTTGACCTTTTCCCCCAGACAAAGTTATGGTGATGGAAGACGACAAGTGGTTTTAATAATCTCTGACCAAACCATACTTTGGTATTCATATTTCATATTTGTCCACTATTTCCTTTTGGCTGCCGACATGCAAATTACATTTATTCCCGCCCTTTGGTGTGTTTTTCGGTTAACACTTTGTTTGGAAGAGAGAAAAATTTGGGTGGAAAAAAAATAACCAAGGAAAGCTATTTTACTCTGTTTGGGAACAAGAAGGAAAATTACAGTGGAAAGAAAAAATAACCACCAAATTCAGTCTATTACAATTAAAAAGTATATGATATACCCATTATTTAGCGACTCATGGTACTCCAAGTGTCAGAATTTCAATTTTTTCATTTTAGAAATTCAAAAAAGTATTATTATTCTTTTTTTTTTTCCAATTTTACTCTTCTCTAAATATCTCCATAAAGAAGTAAGAAAATTGATATAAAAGAATTTATTTATTTACAATTATTTTTCTCTACAATTAAGGTTATTTTAGTAAAGTTCTTTTTCTTTAATTTTTATGCAATAAAGTTATGACACTTAAAAAGGAACAGAAGGGAGTACGCTTTTTACCTTTCTGTCCATATATAATAATCCACTTTATAATGTAGACAAAACAGTATCTTTTTATAAAAGAGTATCATCAATAATACTCTTTTAAGTAATTTTTTGATAATTTTCTAACTTAAATAACTAACAAAAACAAAATCAATAAATTAAAATTTCCTTTTTTGGATCAAAGGAAGCTTAATATGTTTCCTATAAAGATATGAGATGAATTTCTAAGCCCCATTTATATTAATTAAATTAAATAAATAACATATATAAGTAGGTACTAATCAGGTGTAAAAAGGACTTGCCTGCAACTCAGTGGTGACCGGGTACTCATCCATGTCAACGTAGTTCTTGTTGATACCAGCCATAATAAGCTTATCACATTCAGGTTCCATCCATGTAGTTACAAAGGAGGCCAGGTTAAGCCTTGGATTCCCATCCAACATTAGCTCATCGTTGATGATCTGATACGCTGCTTCCTTCGGGATCGAGTTTTCCGGCATCTTGAACCTGCAAATTTGCGATCGATCGATCAACAGCATCCATTACAGCTTGATTTTTTGATAATTAAAACGATTTGGATTGTTAATTATTATTACCTAGGAAGTGAGGTACGGACATATCGGGAAGCGAACGTTGAGTGGACGGAGTCGTCGGAATCCGATGCCGCTCTGGAGAGAACCATGGTGGCGATTGAGAGGGAGAGAAGGAGAGTGAGTGACTGGAGATCTGATAAGATAGGCGAAGAGGAATGAAATGGTGGTGGGGATATATAAGCTATTGATTGACATCGTGAAGAAAGAGAAGATGAGTGGAAACGGAACAGAACAGGACAATGATTTTTTTTATTTTTTGTTTGAGCGCGCGTTGAAGAAACTGAGAAGAAATAAAATACTCCACCAATAAGCTCGGTGGAGTTTATGGGAGGTCTAATCAAAGCTCGACACGATTTCTTATGGAGTAGAACTGAAAAAAAATTATTAATATTATTTTAGAGTAATTATTTAATTTTAAATAAAATATTTTACTTCGTCCATTTTACTTTAATAATAATAAATAGATATTTTATTTTATTTCATTTTAAGTTTTCATTTAAAATTTTAAAAAAATTATATTATTTTTTTTTTTACTCTTACTCATATTTATTAGGTGTTATTATTTTTTATTTATTTCTAAAAATAAAAATTTAAATATTTTACTATATATTTTTAAAAAAATAATAAATTTTAATTATTTTCTTAATTATTACGAAGAGAATAAATGTTGTGGTTAAGTGAAACGGAGTGAGTAATATGTTTGTAATCTTTTGGACTTTCCATCACGTAACACTAAAATTATAAAAAATATCTCAAGCTTATTCTAGAACATTTACTTAATTATTTTGTTATTAATAATTATTATTATTACTGCAATAAGAAGCTTCCATAAAAGTACAAAAAAATATGAATATGCTACTTAACTATGAAATTCTTTCAGGTTCCTATAATTTATTATTTAACTCATATATATATAAGAATTATTATACAAAGAAAAGTCAAAAGTCCAATTATTTTCTCACAGTGTTTCACCAAATTTTTTAAAAAATCAGTCAAATTTTCGTGTTTCTAATTTCAAAAATATTTAAATTAAATTAATTTACATCAATATAATAACTCTTTTATAAATTTATACTACCTATATTCTATAATACTTGTCAAATTTGAAATTTCACATTCCTTAAAAAAACCATTAAATGTGTTTAAGTTACAATAAATTATCGAGTAAATTGACCATATTACATTTAATTTAATATTAATTTTCTAAGAAAACCACTAAATTAAAGTAATAATTATTGGTCATATACAAAGGGTAAACATGAAAAAAAAAATTTATTATTCCTTAAAACCACAAATGTGACAAGTATTATGAAACAAGGATAGTATGAGTTTGTTTAAGATAAGAGTGCAACGTATAATTACTTTCCATAACTATATACCCAATTAAATTATAAAACTAACTTCTCCACAATTAGAACAACCAGTTAATTATTTATATTTATAACAAAGATCAAGTGAGAGGCAAATTCTATAGTTAGTATGTTTAAAGCATTTAATTAATTGCTTAATGGCATTCCAGATAATTACGCATGTCTCAAATAAATTGCGTGTGAAATAAATGGGAGTAGGGATGTGCAAAATATCTCATGGACTCGAAAATCAAATCGACTCATTTTAGTTCAATCAATCTGTTTAAACGGATTCGATTTTGTCAGATAAGTAGGTTTGAACTGAAATTGCTGGTGATTTAGCTTGGTTTTATAGAAATTAGGCTTAAAAGCGATCTAAAATGACAAAAACTGGCTAAATCGACTTGTTCGAAATGAGTCGGTTCAATTCAAATACCAATTTCGATTGATTTTGATATGAAAAATTTAGATTTATATTTTTTAGCTTTGACTCAGTTCGGTTCAAATCAAACAGACGGTTTGCTCAACCCTAAATGGGAGCATATATTTTTATATAAATAATAGAGACTGAAATTAGGGTTACAATTATAAATCAGAATGTCCATCCTATAATATAGAAAATCAATATTTAAAATTTAGTAGTACCATTTTTGTGTTTTTTGAACAACTGTGGTTGACTATTCAAAATGATAAACAAATAATAATTTTACATTTATTTAAGCTATATTAGAAAAAATAGTAATACTTTTGTTTCTATTTTTTTTTCATTAATTACAATATTTTCAGATTGGGATTAAATTTTACTCGCGCCAATTAACTCATTAAAAAATAAAATGCCTTCAGTGAGTGTTAATCGGTGCATCAAAATTGAATCTCAAATCTTATTAAAAAAAAAAAAGTGTCGAATCATTTATTTCATTAAAAAAAAGTGATAATACTATTACTATTATAAAAATTCCCACAAAGAAAAAAGACATTATATAAAATTAAGTCCAAACGCGGTTCACGGAAAGGGTTGTTGTATGTGAAGGACGCATAACCCCAAATTAGGGAATCAGCATAAATGTGCGGCATCAATCGCTGAGTCAAATTAAGCAAACACCACATTTTTTTTTTCTTCCTTTTGATTAAATGATATTTTGACAATCAGCAAACGCGTCAAAAGCCTAGTGTGCCTTCTTTCTATCTTTATTGGCTTTTGCTAATATGGTTGGGTTGATTGTGATGGACGGATGAGGAGCATTCAAATTTCCTTTTGTTTTTTTTTTTGGTAAAAAAGTATTTAGTCATTCAGATTTAATCATATTCACAACTTCACCTCTTATATTTGATAAAATACATTGATTAATTTTCAAAGTTATTTCAAATTAGCACATCAATAGTCTAGTAAAAAGTATATATATACGATTCGACAATAGATTCAGATTAAATCTCCTTTCCATACTCAAAGTTCTTTCAAATTAAATTATTTAATCATTATCATCTAAAAAATATTTTCCATTTATTGAATTCTTAAAAAATAATAAATTTCAGGGATTAAAGGCTAAATCTATAAAAATATTCTCATCTGTATGACTTGTTACAAAATCACTTACTTTTATATTTCATGCACCACTATTTTGAAATATAAATATATTAACATCCTAATTTTAAAATAAAGTTAGAATTTGGACTCAAATGATATTATCAAAGATCCCACAATTTAACCTTGGTTAAGCTAACCCAAGGGAAGCAAAACACACCATTTTAATTTTTTGCCTCTCCCCCTAGAGTTGTCCTTCAACGATAATAGTCTTCTCACTTTTGTCTTGTCCAGATCGCAATTCTGCTCAATACTTCTCCCGTTCTCTCTCTAGACTTCGTTTTGCTCAACTCTCTTTCCTTCGCTTGAAATTTGGCCTACCCAAATCACGGTTGTGCTCCAAACTTTGCGATTTGTGTTTAAATCATGAAATTTTAGGTGAAACTGAGGGGACAGTGATGGCGCCAGTGGCGATGGTCGTGGAGGAGGAGGAGGAGAGGGAGATGGAGATTGTGATGGTGACATGTAAACAACTTCCTTTACAATGTCCACATTTTCTTTTTTTGATTTGTCAATTTTTTCGTTTTTCTTGATTTTGCCGTGGGCAATCCTCATGAAGTATAACATTCGATGAATTTGATGAAAATATGTAACTGTTCTTAAAATGTATATCATCATGAAATCATAACCGTTCATCTGTAATAGCCCATAACGATTCTTACGGAGATTCGGATATGGACTAAAACTTCTCAAAGTATTATAAGCCTTTCTGATCTTGATATTGATCATGATCATTATTATGAATTGACCAATATTATCTTTGCTTCTGCAACAAAATATTTGATAAGCTTTGAAAATTTGGGCTTCATTATTGATTACTCCGTCCGTTATTTTTACACAGACAAACTTTTTTTTTTTTTTTTTAAAAATCGATTTCTTACGGAGGATTCGGATATGGACTTTAAAACTTCTCAAAGTATTATTAAGCCTTTTCTGATCTTTGATTATTGATTCATGATCATTATTATAAATTCGACCAATATTATTCTTTCTTTTCCTTGCAACAAAATATTTTTTGATAAGCTTTGAAAATTTCGGGTCTTCATTATTGATTACTCCGTCCCGTTTATTTACACAGACAAAACTTTTTTTTTTTTTTTTGTTCTTTCTATATAAGATTAAATTTTCCTTTTTTGATTAATATTTAAAAAAAAAGTCAATATGAAAAACTCATTCTTTGTGAAAGTTCTATTTGTTGGGAGATTATCAATGGAGTAAACGATAGAATTTACTTTTTTTTTTTTTTTTGTTCTTTCTATATAGATAAATTTTCCTTTTTTTTGATAATATTTAAAAAAAAAGTCAATATGAAAACTCATTCTTTGTGAAAGTTCTATTTTGGGAGATTATCAAGGTAACGATAGAAAAGAGTTTAGATGAACATTAGATGTGAAATGTAACGATAGGCAAAAGTATAGATGAATATTAAATGTGAAAGATTTGTTATTCTTTAAATTTACCTTAGAAAACTAATTATAGTCCAATTAAGAAAATGTGCTTAACTTGAGATAGAATTTAAATTTTAAAATAACTTAAAATTTAGAAATAAAGCACAGTTAAAAGTTGTAATTTTACACTTTGGGTCATTTTTTTTATAAAGCTAGTCCTTTTTTAACGCAGCTTATACAAAGAGGGACCAATAACAAGTTTGCCTCAGAGGTTAGAGCATAACTTTTTTTTTTTTTTTTGCACTCATTTGATTTTCGGTCCAATTTATAATTTATGTGCACATTTTATAGGACATATTATTGCATTTGTCCAAATTTGTGAGTTGTCCTGTTTAAGGAAGCCAACAAATTTACCAAAATTTCAACTAAAAACGTAGAATTTAGTTTCAAAATTTTGAATTTTTATTCCCTAATCAAATCTCTAAATATCCCACATTTTTAAGAAGACAAAGCATTTATTGCATTATTCAACCAAGAAACATTATTAAAGACAATTTTTACATTTTAGAGGAGTTAATGTGATACTAGGGGTATATTAGGGAAAAAAAAGAGAAAATAGTTAGTTAAACTTATTTCTTAATTTGGTGAAAATATAGTTGTACCTATATAAAAAAGAACGGATGGATTATCATTCATCAATACAGCATGTTTTGCTTTCCTTGGGTTAGCTTAACCAAGGTTAACTTGTAAGTCCCATGATAATATCATTTTAGTCTAAATTCTAGCTTCATTTTAAAATTAGAATGTTAATATATCTATGTTTCAAAACGGGGTATCCGAGATACAAAGTTCAATTTAGAATGATTTTGCAATAAATCATATAGTTGAGAGTATTTTTATAGATTTACCCAAGATTAAATAATAATGTTATATAAGATGTGAAAAAGGAGACAATCAAATACTATATAATAC